TAATAATTATTTGAGGCACGAACAGTGAAATAGCACCAATATGAAATTTCACATCAATATTTTCAATGTTATAAGATGTGCGAATCGACATTATATTATGAAGAGTTAATGCTCATATGTTTTTTCAAACTTAATTTGTGCTTAAACACAACCACAATATAAAGAGCATTACATACATTAAAAATGTATGTTTGCAAGTAGATTCCAATCGGGCGGGAAACTTACCCAATGTGGTTAAGTGTGGAACCAATAAAGATAATAATTTTGTTACACCACACGCAATAAAAAGCGTAGTGTCTTGGACTATTTACATCTCCCTAGTAAAGTGGAGCCGGAAATCTTTACCTCAACAGATTCTTGACTTTGCTTATTTTTTGAATATGTTATTGATATCATATACTCGTAGTTATAAATAGCTGCTGAAAAATAGCTGTCCTACATTGTTTTTAACTACCAGAACAAGTTTTGTTTTATTAGCTGCATAGTTTCGAAATAATATGTATTAGTTGCACGAGGAACAGGAAATGCCGGGAGCGAAAGCGGGCTACGCGGGCGCAGCCGAAATCATGTGAGCGTGACGCACAGGTAGGGTATAGCCGTGGTCACGTGATGGGTGTCGCTAGCGTACGTAGGCTACAGCCGTGGTCACGTGACAGGTGCATTCGCACCTAGTAGAGGCATGGTGCCGGAGAGGACGGCGGCGCGCGCGTGGCATGCTAGGGCTCGGGCTCGCAGACGTCGGTGTATCCCGTGGTCACGTGACGAGTGTGTGACCACAACAGGCTCGTAGAGTTAGGGCGCAGTGGAAGGCGGCGGCGTGCTAGCATCGGGTTCAGACTCGTATTAGCAGGCGTTGGTGTATCCCGTGGTCACGTGACGAGCGTGTGACTGCAATAGGGCGCAGTCGTGATCATGTGAACGGTGTTTGATCGCGGCATTCACGGCTAGTAGAGGAAGGGCGCGGCTGTTGTCACATAACCACTGATCGATCGCGGTGGCCGCCTAGTACAGGTATGGAGGGCTCGTCAGTGAATCCCGTGGTCAAGTGACGAGCATTCGATCTCAGCGTTCGCGCCTAGTATAAATATGGCGCGGGGGAGGGCGGCGGCGCACACGCAGCCGGCTCGGGCTCGCGAGCGTCGGTGTATCCCGTGGTCACGTGACGAACGTGCGTGGGCGGCGGCGGGCAGTTGGAGGCGCGGTAGTGGCGGCACGCACGGTCACGTGACGAGCGTGTGACTGTAACAGGGCGCAGTCATGTATCCCGTGGTCACGTGACGAGCATTCAATCGCGCCTAGTACAGATAAGGCGCGGGGGAGGGCGGCGGCGCGCGCGCGGCGGGCTCGGGCTCGGACTCGCAGGCGTTGTTGTATCTCGTGGTCTCGTCACGAGCGTTCGTTCTATCGTGGCGTTCGCGCTTAGTATACATAAGGCGTACAGGGGAAGGTGGAGACGCGCGCGTGGCGTGCTCGGGCTCGGGTTCGGGCTTGCAGGCGTTGGTGCATCCCGTGATTCGATCTCAGCGTTCGCGCCTAGTATAGATAAGGCGCAAGGGAAAGCGGCGGGCTCGGTTTCGAACGCAGGTGTCGGTGTATCCCGTGGTCACGTGACGAACGTGCAACCGCAACAGGGGCTGTTGCGGCTAAAGCCTGGTTCGACCCCAAGCTACCCATCCTTATCGCTCGCGCGTAATTATATTGCTGTCGCGACTGTGCGACGCGCGCCCGCAGTGAGTGTGCGAGCGCGACAGCAACATAATTACGTGCGAGCGATAAGGATGGGTAGCTTGGGGTCATTGGACGTGCTCACGGACCAGGCTTTAGTATAGGTATGGCGCGGGGGAGGGCGGCGGCGCGCGCGCGGCGGGCTCGGGCTCGGACTCGCAGGCGTCGGTGGAGGCGGGCGTGGGCGGCGGCGGGCGGTTGGAGGCGCGGTAGTGGCGGCACGCACGGTCACGTGACGAGCGTGTGACTGTATCAAGGCAGTCATGTATCCCGTGATCACGTGACGAGCATTCGATCTCAGCGTTCGCGCCTAGTACAGATAGGCGGCGGGGCGCGCGCAGCTGGCTCACGTGAGCGTTCGTTCTATCGTGGCGTATAAGGCGTAGGGGAAGGCGCAGACGCGCGCGCGGCGTGCTCAGGCTCGGGTTCGGGCTTGCAGGCGTTGGTGCATCCCGTGATCACGTGACGAGCGTTCGTTCTATCGTGGCGTTCGCGCCTAGTACAGATAAGGCGCGGGGGAGGGCTCGGACTCGCAGGCGTCGGTGGAGGCGGGCAAGGGCGGCGCGGTAGTGATCACGTGACCGGCGTTAAATCGTGGCGTTCGCGGCTAGTACAGGTAAGGCGCAAGGGAAAGCGGCGGGCTCGGTTTCGAACGCAGGTGTCGGTGTATCCCGTGGTCACGTGACGAGCATTCAATCGCGGCTAGTACAGATAAGGCGCGGGGGAAGGCGGCGGCGCGCGCGCAGCGGGCACGAGCTCGGACTCGCAGGCAATGACCCCAAGCTACCTATCCTTATCGCTCGCGCGTAATTATGTTGCTGTCATGCTCGCACACTCACTGCGGGCGCGCGTCGCACAGTCGCGACAGCAATATAATTACGCGCGAGCGACAAGGATGGGCAGCTTGGGGTCATTGGACGGGATTCTACGTGCTCACAGACCAGGCTTTAGTACAGATAAGGCGCGGGGGAGGGCGGCGGCGCGCGGGCGGCGGGCTCGGGCTCGGACTCGCAGGCGTCGGTGGAGGCGGGCGTGGGCGGCGGCGGGCGGTTGGAGGCGCGGTAGTGGCGGTAGGCGCGCCGCCGCGCCGCCGCCGCCGCCGACGACCCGTTGCTGGCGGTGGCTGGTGAAGGCGGCGGGTTGGCTGTAGGCTGGGGGTACCGCTCGCAGAGGCTTTCTGACGCTCTGTGGATAGATTTTTTATGATTATCATAAGTAGGAATGTGACTTAGTAAATGTTTATCTCGAAGAGCCGGTACACAGGGTGTGGTTTTGTTAAACCCTCCTGAGTTGGGCGTTGTCTTACAAAACCACACCCTGTATCTCTGAATAAAATGTAATGGCTTTTCTAGTTTCTTCGGGCGATAGGTGAGAGCAGTGGGCTCCCAATTTCAAAGCGCGGCCCACGCGCCGCCCACGCCGCCGGGCACGCGGCGCCGCTAGTGTAGTACTCACTCTGTGAGGCTGGGCGTGGGCTTGCAGCGCGGCGGGGCGCGGCGCGGGGCGCGCGGGGAGGCGGCGCGGCGGCGCCAGTGCCTCAGCGCGGCCCACGCGCCGCCCACGCCGCCGGCGCACGCGGCGACGGCTCCGCACACCACTAGCGCGCGCGACTGCCGCACTGATCCTACGGCCTGCAACGAAATTAATCCAAATTGTACATACGGCGATGTAGCGCGCGAATGTGTTTGACTGAATCCGCTGAAATGAATGGTTTAACGGTCTGATAAGTTGAATTGCATTCTTGACAATAACATGTATTTTTTAAGTGGCTATGTCTATACAGGGCCGAATTTAAGGGAGGGCAACCGGGGCTACAAACCCGGTGCCTCCAGAAAAGAATATACTCCACCTCCATCCTCCACAATAGACCTCGGAAAAAAAACAAATTCAGACTAGAAAACAACTTTTCCTTTGATATTGTTTTCGCGTTTTACTTTTATCTACAAACTTTGTACAAACATGATTATATTAGATAACTAGCGGCCGCCCGCGACTTCGTACGCGTGGACCCCGTTTTACCCTTAGGGGTGAAGTTTCGAGATTTTTAGGGTTTACCCGGAAATTATTCAAACTTTTCTCGCTGTAAAAACCATCCTTGGACTTCAACAAACATTTAAAAAAAAGAATTGGTATGTAATAGTTGCTATGCTATGCTTGCTGATGAGGGATGGGTTACTCCTAAGAGTGCTAAATAAAACCGACCCGTTTGAGTGCTGCTCATACACTGATTTATTACTAAGTGATTCTACAGGCGTGAATTAAAACTAGGTCAAACTTATACGTAAAGTGTTTAACGCCTACTTAGCAATAAATGATTTAACTATATAAAAAGGAAATGTGCAAGTAATAATGTACGATGGCTCGTACATCTTTCTCACCAGCAAAAGAAAACATTAAAATACAATTGCTTAAAATAGTTAATTGGTGAGAAGGATGATGATTGATTTATATAGTGCTCAAAAATAATGATGCTTAATACTAAAATGATATACAGTGCTGTTACGTGATACAAGGTGAATCCAATAGTTTGGGTTAGTATCTTATGCTACTGTGCTTGATGAAACATAAAGATATAAATGCTGTTTTATAATATCAAGATGATATAATTATGATTTATTGAACTAAATTTAACTACTGATGTCCTGTTCATAATTTTAATTCACTCGCGTGACTCTACACTTGGGACGTGAAACGACACTGACCGTGACGCGATAGGCGTCATGGGGGATGTCCCTTGATCAACACTGACACTGCTTGCTGACTTACGCAGTAAGTTCAACTCAATGGGAGCTGAAGTAACACTCACTAGATCACTAACACTACCCACTGCGCTGCTGCGAGGAGCCGGCGCCGGAGCGTCGGCCGCCACCTGCCGCGCCCGCGCCTGCCGGTGTCTCCTGATCTTCAAGTATGCGAGTGTCCCCGCTACTGCTAGTAGTACTGCTACGATTGCATATGTTGTCGTGTAGTGATGGACATCGTGGATGCTGAGGTCAGAGTAAGATTGTCCTTTCAGGTTCTCCATTTGCTCCTTTAGCTGCTGCCACATGAGTGTGTGATTCTCTGGTATCATCATCTCATCCGTGATGGTGGTGTTGATGATGTTGTTCAAGATAGATAACTCTGGGACTTTGATATCGTTTTGAACTGTCATATGATTCATGTAGTTGTTGTGAGTATAGATTGACAGGTCATTGTCCCTGAGTACACAACCATGCTCTAGGGTGACAAGGCCGTTACCTGATAACGATAACATTGACACACCAGCTGTGCAGAAAATGCGAACGCTGCATTCTTGGCAACACGAGAACAGCCAGTCGTTCCGCGCGTGCAACTTGATCCATCTGTTCGTACAACTTGATTGCTCGTATTTACAGAGTGTTGTTTTTGTATATGAATTACTAATAGTTAATTCACATATGGACTGCTTCATTCTAATGTCGTATATAGGCGTATCGAGTGAGCATAATATTCTGTTTTCAGAGGCATGAATGCATAAAAGCAGATCATCATCTGATAAGAACATAACCGTATCTTTTCTAAGATTGAAGGCTATGTAAGGATGACTAGGAATGATATAATATGTCTGCTGATTTTTGTTTTGAGGAATAGTTATAACTCTGTCAAGTTCATAAATTTCCTTGTTTACAAGCGGTATTCTGATTTCAATGATTAGATAGCTGTTATGTAATCTCGATGACACCTTTAACATTTTATAGATGTCGGTAAAGTGATTTTGTTCTACAGGTATAGCGAGATCACCCTGTAGTTGACTTGATATAGTTAGAATTTGATACTGTAGTTGTTCAGGCGACAATAAATGAGTATCGATGCGACCGTGTCTTATGTCGGTGATTGTATTTATCAATGTCTCTTGCATGCGCCTTAAATTGGAGATGATTATGTTTGCTACTAATGCTGATGACGTCACGTAGAGGTCGTTCTGAACATCTAGGCGAACGTGATTAATTTCGTCAGTTAAGTTGCGAAGGTGCTGTCTGACGAATGTAAACTGAGTGTTCATGATTTTCTCATTGCGTTGTATGATGTTAGACTCAGCTTCGAGAATGAGAGTCTGATTTCTGATCAAATTTTGAAGGTGTTTTTCATTGTGAGTCACCTGCTCGATATCTTTTGCATACTTCTCTGCGAATCTCTCATCTAACACTCCAAACAATGAGTTAGCGATGTAGCCGACTCCATCGACCAAACCACGCTTCTGTCGATTGTTGTATTGAAATTGTAACAACTTGTTGTAATGCTGAATTTCGCTCAATTCATGATTTAATTGAGAGGTAAGTGTTTGATATTGCTTAGGTAGAGGTTTGCAGCTCTGTGATAGATGATTTACATAAGATTCAATGTTTGTTAATCCTTGATAGTAAGATGATAAGTTGTAATAGACAACAAGCTTCCACTCGTCTCTGATGTACTGTAGATTAGATATTTTGTCGAAGTACAACCCCTTGTTTTCTGTAATTTGAGTGACGTTGTAGGGCTGTGAATTTTGCTGGACAGTTGGTGAAATTAACATTGCAAAACACAATAAAGTTGTTACTAAGCCATTGATTATTTTATTACTGCTTCTGTTAGGCCTTTTATTTGTGTCTTGCTGTACTTCTTGCTTTGCTGGATGCTGATTCTGTTCTGATGACATCTCATGAACAGGTAAAAGTACCAATTTCGTAATCGGTCTTTTTATTATGCTGTTTTGTGTTTTGACAGATACTACTCTAACGTATCCGTCTTTACCGGGGTGGATGTCATACACTCGGCCCATGACCCATTTCCCGGGCGGTAAGTAATCGTCCTTGATTAGAACAATATCGTTGATATCGATGTTTTTGCTAGGAGTTCTCCATTTGGATCGAGCTTGGAGCTGCTGAAGGTAGTCTGTTGACCACCTCTTCCAAAAATGCTTTATCATGCTTTGTAAAAGTTGCCATCTACTGGGAAGGTTCATATTGTCATCTCCCTGAGGTCGTGATAATAGAGAGCCACCAATAAGAAAATGACCTGGTGTTAGAAAGTCATCTTCAGGGTTTTCAGTCAGAGGGAATAGGGGTCTCGAGTTGAGACAGGCTTCTATTTGTTGAATTAATGTGCTAAACTCCTCGTATGTGAGTCGTTGCTCGCCAAGTGTTCGTTTTAGGTGGTGTTTAAAGCTCTTGACTGCTGCTTCCCACAAACCCCCTGCGGACGGCCATGCGGGTGAGTTAAATGACCATTTTATATCCCATTCGGCTATGTTGTTGAAGAACTCATGATTGATATTTGCTGTTATCTCCTTGTACTCTTTTTTCAGTAATCGATTGGCACCTACAAAATTAGTGCCGTTGTCGCTGTACATGTGAGTAGGAACACCACGACGTGCACAAAAGCGACGAAACGCTGCTAGGAAAGCAGGCGTGCTTAGGTCCGAGACCAGCTCGAGATGAACTGCTTTGGTAGAGAGACATACAAAAATTGCTATGTATCCTTTATGACACCGTACGCCTCTACCCTTGCTTGCTTTCAGGTCAACATGACCTGTGAAGTCAACTCCTGTGTGTGCAAAGGGACGTGATGGAGTTACCCGAGCCCGAGGTAAGTCTGCCATTATTTGCTGTCTCTTTTCAGTGCTATAACGTCTACATGTTACACACATTCTGAGTTGTCTTTTTACTGTATTCATTCCACTAAGAATCCAGTATTTCTCTCTGATGTATGATAGTGTAAGTCTAGGACCCCCGTGTAGGGTTGTTATGTGTCCTTGACTGATAATGAGGTCCGTAAGTCGGCTATGATTTGATAAAATGATCGGGTGTTTGGCAGAGCTGCTGAGATCCGAATTATTTAGCCGACCACCAACTCTCATGATTCCATGCTCATCTAAAAATGGATGTAAACTTGCTATCTTGCTATTTGGTTTCACGTGGCCCTTGCTCTGTAATTGAATTAATTCATTTTCAAAATCTCTTGCTTGAGTGTCTTTGATGACAATGTTGTATGCATTTTCAATTTCAGTTGGCGATAGAAGTTCATTACACTCCGATGACCTATGACGCAAGCGCGCCACGAAACGTGAAACCCATGCTATTGTTTTTATAACGCGAGTAATTGAATTATTATTTTGCAGTAATTCAGTTATAAGTGTAGATTGGTTGCTATGATGTAAAGCAGTATTTACACATGCTTGTTTTGCCTCTATCATTGGGCTTTGATATTTTTTGTTGCTAAATTCATTGGGGTCAAATGTAGTAAGCCATTTGGGCCCTTGCCACCACAACGAATGCTCTAGTAGGGTTTTCACTGTTGAACCCCTGGTTGCGGAATCAGCTGGGTTGTCTTCTGACCGCACGTGATTCCATTGAGAGGCTGGGATGACCTCTTTGATTTGATTGACTCTATTTGCTACAAATTGCTTCCAACGCGTGACATCTCCATGGATCCATCCTAAGGCCACCATGGAGTCAGTCCATGCGTGAATTGATACGTTGTCGTTATTAGGTAATGCTTGGACAACTTTCTTCATAAGTTGTGATAAAAGTTGTGCACCGCACAACTCAAGCCTCGGTAGTGAGACTTGCTTGTTTAATGGAGCTAGTCTTGTTTTTGCTATTACTAATGTCGATGTGCATTCTCCTTTATTGTTATTTGTTACGATGTAAATAGAACACGCGTATGCTTTTTCGGATGCATCGCAAAATCCGTGTATTTTGTATGTAATTAATGTGTTACCTAAATAGCGTGGTATTGAAAATTTATCAATGGTTTTGAGGTCATCTTTTAATAGATGCCATTCCTCTTGCAATTGCTGTGATAATTTATCGTCCCATGCCATACCTGACGTCCATGCTTTTTGAAATAATAATTTTGCTTTAATTGTAAGAGGAGAAAGCCAACCTAGTGGGTCGAAAATTTTGGAAATATCAGATAGAAGTTGTCGTTTAGTATGATTGGCTTCCTTTTGATCAATAGTACTTTGAAATGAAAAATTATCTGTTGAAGGATGCCACCGTAGCCCGAGGGTCTTACGGGACTCTGAACATTTGAAATCGAAGGGTGTTTCAACTTGATTGGATGATAAGTCAGCCACCAGTTCCTTGGTGTTTGCCGACCATTTTCTCAAATTCATTCCTGCACCCTGTAACATCTGTATTAATTGATTTTGTAGCTCTTTTGTTTGCTCAATGCTATTATGTCCACTTAGGAGATCATCAGTGAAGAATGAACTCTCTAATGCTGCTGCTGCTAAAGGATACTTCGATGCGTCATCCTTAGCAAGTTGTCTCAAAGTTCTAATTGCTAAAAATGGGGCTGCCTTAGTCCCATATGTAACTGTCGTGAGATGGTATTCACGAAGTGGCTCTGAAGGCGAGTCGCGCCAAATGATAGACTGTAGGGGTTGATCTGAATCCCTGACGAGTATCTGACGGAACATTTTCTCGATGTCCGCAGTTATTACGTATTTATGCTGTCTCCACCTTAAGATGAGATTGTGTAGGTCAACTTGAAGGTTGGGACCACATTCCATCAAGTCATTCAGACTGTGGCCTGTGGTGGTCTTTGATGAGCCATTGAATACTACACGCAGTTTTGTAGTGCTTGAGTCTAACTTGAAGACGCCATGATGAGGTAAGTAACAACTAGGTTCGTCACCACCAGCCTCACGCATGTGTTTTAGCTCTTGATATTCATGAATAAACTGCTTATAACTGCTTGAGAATGCACTGTTTTTTGCCATTTTATGTTCCAATTGCTTAAATTGTGCTATAGCTTTCGGTTTAGATGAACCTAAGCTCTGTTCAAAATCTTGCTTCATTGGAAGTGCCACTACATACCTCCCACTGTCTAGGCGAGTTGTAGTAGCCTGATAAAAGTCTTCGCAGTACTGTTCCTCTCTAGTCAATGTGCTAGTGCTTTCATTTATATCTTCTAACTCCCAGTACTTTGCTATGTCTTTCAATTCGTTGATGACTACGTGGCAGTTAAAAGTTTTTACATTGCCAGAGAGAATCCAGTATAGTATATTTGGATGTATTCCGGCGTTTTTCTAGTAGAAGAATCCTTTCCAAAGGATGATTGAATTTGCTTTAGTTTGTCAACAATTTCTTTTTGACGAATGATGATGCCTTCCATGATGAATTGGAAGTTGAAGTGATAAAGGAACAATCTTACTTGATTGACTGATGAACTGCAACTGCTAACTGCTTACTGTCGTGTCTCCCCCCGTGGATCCAGAAGGAAGTTGTTATGACAGTGCTGCTGAGCCACCTGACCCTTGCCAAGTGACTAATGCTGATGCTGACCGATGATGTTGGTGTTACGAGTTGTTACCACAACGGCACAAATGATCACACGCGAAACTCTGCTCGATTGCCGCGCACTTGATCACCGATGGGCCCCGCAACCGTTTTGCTCGAAGGACCAAAGAAATGTAATAGTTGCTATGCTATGCTTGCTGATGAGGGATGGGTTACTCCGAAGAGTGCTAAATAAAACCGACCCGTTTGAGTGCTGCTCATACACTGATTTATTACTAAGTGATTCTACAGGCGTGAATTAAAACTAGGTCAAACTTATACGTAAAGTGTTTAACGCCTACTTAGCAATAAATGATTTAACTATATAAAAAGGAAATGTGCAAGTAATAATGTACGATAGCTCGTACAATGAGACAAATTCAATGAGTTAAAATTTCGATATTAAAAATCTTGTACAGACGACAGCACATCAAGCTTAAAACTCTCCATCTTATTTCGATATATTAAGTGTTATTTTGCAACAAAATGTAAGGCTGATGTCAAATGTCAGATGTCATGACAAAAAATCTCATTGAATTTGTCTCATATTTGCGGAATGAGTAGTTGTATTAAAGGATGCCAACGATTTGAAAGTCACCCTGTACAAGGTTGACTCAAAAAAGTTCCTTGCGTTCCTCCAACTTAATCACCTGACACAGCTTCCTGCGCCGGCTCATTGAAGTAGCTCAAAATAGCGCCATTACGCAAAAATTGAGCATTATAAATATCACTTTGTTTAACTTCAACAGAAAAGATTAAATCGATTCATTTCACGAGACTTTCTGTTTCGGAAGGGTTTTCCTAAACAGCTAACTAACCACCAATCTGATCATTGGGCGAAACTGTAATTTGAGCCTTTTATTATCTCGATTAACCACATATGTGTCAAACCATATTTTTTTAAACTAAACTTTAACATTATTTTAATTAAAATCTGTGTCCAAATAACGAAATAATCAGACTTAATGTCCACTACGAGTAGGGTTTCTGATTTCTCGACTTATTTTTTTTCTCGAGTTTCGGGAATTCTCGAGGCCAAAGTCTCGAGTTTTCTCGGGTCTCGAGTCTTTTAATTAAAACTGTTGAAATCGGTTGAAATTTAATAAAAACACGGGTTTTTATTAATGTTATAATGTGTCTGGGTTATAATCAATAATACTGTAAAGTTTCAACAAAATCCGTTCAGTAGTTTTTGCGTGAAAGAGTAACACACATCCAGACATCCACACAAACTTTCGCATTTATAATATTAGTACGATAATTATAACTTAGTAATTAACTAAAGGAACAAAAGTCATAAAGTCGCGTGTACTTTAAGGATTAATAACCATAAATATCTGGAGCTCCAATTGAATCACTTGTCTTCCAAAGAACACAAGTCCAAATTAATTGAAAAATTACGATAATAAACCTACATTTACAAACAAAAAAAAACTTTTAAATAAATTTTTAAACTTAAAGATAACGACTTGAATAAACGTATTTACGAGTACCTAAACTAACAGTTAACAAAAAATTTTCAGTCTTTAAATCAGTCAGTTATACAAACATAATATAATATAGCATACTCGTAGGTGAACATTATTAGTTTCGGTTAAGATCATTACTTGCAAATCAAATTAGTTAAAAAAAGGAAAGACTAGGCCAGTCTAAACGCAACGTTAACCTATTAAATAATTAAAAACTTACTTTTGTCTAAGAAAATAGGCTTTCAAACATATTAAAGCTTCAAAATCGAAACTCGAGAACTCTCGAGCTCCGGTATTTTTTTTCTCGTCTCGAATGAAGCCAAATTTCTCGAGTTTTCTCGAGTTCGAGAAAGCTCGAGCAGAAACCCTAACTACGAGAAAGCTCATATCAACGTCACGTAAGCAAGGGAATAACAAGCTTAAGCAATTGTGACCGCGTAATGAGATAACATACTAACCCAAGTCCCAACTGCTGCTCATATAAAATGGTATAACCATACATTTAGGTGGGCGTGGAAGAAGGATTACACGCATGGGAGGCGGCGGTGGAGGCGGCGCGCGGCGGCGGCTGGCTGGCGCTGCTCGTGGGCGCTTCACCTTTCACCGGCGACTTGCATAGCTTCGTCGCCGCCTTCGTGCAACGACCGGTGAGTCTATTCTGCTATCCAAACGATTCTGACGCCCGTATTCACAAACATCTTTTTTTATGCATAACAAGGCAGGTATTTAACCACAATCGCAGCTGTGAGGTCTCTCAGTGCGCGTGGACGCACAGGGTCACACGAACCAATCACAGCTCTATTCAACGCTGTGTGTTCAATTTTCTGCTTCACTTAAGCAAGCATTGTTCGTGAATACGGGAGTGAAACTCCAAGTGACCAATATAAAAACTAACTACACTGTGCCTATAGTAGCGCCCTCCTGTAAATGTCATAATTTTAAGGTTGGTCAAGGTGGCAAAAATCGGAACTAATAATCCAGTATTGATAGTAACCCCCTAGGCAAGGTTATAGTTGGGACGCGACGGTGCAGTGTTGGACATCTATAATTAACTACTACTTATACCATCAAACCTTAAGCGGTTGCAAATGACCATGACAACTGATTGTCTATTTTGTCTCGATTCACGGGGTAAAGGGTTAAAAAATGCATTTATTTGTCACGTACCAAAGCAGAATTCGATGTCTTGATGAAGTTAAGAGAAGTCTATATTAGAATTATGTTTTCAGCCTGAAGACTTCAGTGAAGAGTTTCGTTTGTGGATTGTTTCCGAAGACCGTGAAATACCACCACTTATTGCAAATGCGTGCGTGAATGTCATTTTAGAGGTAAGGTCACTTCATCAGTTATGTCGCTAATCTTTCACTACCTTTCTTTTAATAATACTTACAGAAAGCAGTGTCATCGTCCCTTTTATGCAAAGAATTTGTTTCGCATGCATTTATTCGAGTACGGTGCTGGTATGATAATGGATGTACCCATCTTATGACCCAGAGAGGAAGATGGCAACTTTTTTAGTTACATTATCTTATGTACCCACAATACTACTTATGTGCGTCCAATAGAATAAGACATCTTTGTTACAAGTGGAATAAGGTTGTGTTGTGAAATTTATGGCCACTTCGGGTGTCACGTACTATTTGACACTGACTGTATCTATGCATACAGGGGGAGGGGGTCTCCGGGCTCCGTTATAACTATGCATAGCATAGGGCCAGGCCTGTTCATCTCCGCGAGTTTACATCGAAAACAAAACACGCACGATGGCCCACCTACAGGATACTATTCGACAAGGCCTCACACACGAGCGAACATTGACTCACGCACGCGTATTCTTGTGTATGATGGAAGAAAATAAAGAAAATGGTATACTAAATACTGTGCAGTATTTAACTGCCTAAATAATAATAAAAACACAGAATGAACTTTTTTAAGTTGCCTCAAGACACTGAGAGGTAAATAAGTAGTTAATATTATTCTTGGTAATTCATGCTAAATCATGTATTTTCCTCCGCCATTTTTCGCAGTTTGGCACCTCACGTCACATCATTTTACCGAAGTCAGCCCTATAACTTCGGCGCAGTGCCGATCACTGACGTTTGTCAACAAAATGGTGCTTGACTCTTGAGACAGGCTAAATTACACCATATTGTTAATGACATTGAGCATACATTTTTTTAAATACCTTCGCGAAGTAAAACTTCTGTACGTAGTAAGTACTTATTATTATTCTGTGATAGGGCTGCGTAACTGACGCGTATTCCCTGTCGACAGGCGCCCGAAGGCGTGAAGCACAACGCTCTAGGCACGCTGGCGGCGTGGGGCGGCTACGAGGCGGCGCCGGCGCTGGTACGCGCGCACGCCTGCCTCGCGCTGTTCCACGCCGTGCTGCAGGAGCGCCGCGCCTATATTCCGCAAGGTGGGTATGGTGATGATGAATGCTTACTGTCGTATTGCCAAACTTTATTGGTAGTGGGGTACAGAATTGATGGCGGTCGAGATTGGGTTTTCAGTGGCAACAACATACCGAAGACGTAATTTTGGCATGCTTCCCGCTCGGTGGGCTGAGGTTCTAGTGAAAATCACGAGAAGCACCTGGATGCCTGGCCTTTGTCCAGTAATGGATTTCATTTGATTGAAACGAATGAACCCCTATGGTTGAAATGAACGAACCTGCTTATTTCTATTTATAAACGCAACGCAAACTTTGAATTTTCGGATAGAGCCAGTATATTCTTTAAACTATTATTGATCCGATAATAGAGCTCGTGAAGCATTTTCAGGACCAAGAACTAGTTTTTCGATATCTTGTATAGTTTAGTATCGTAGTTATCGTTTTTTTAACCTATTATTGATACCGTTTGATAGAGCTCGTGGAACATTATCAGGACCAGTAGGCCTAAGATGCGCGACGTGATAACTTTTATCGACGCCAAAATGTATGGGAAAAATCGATAAAATGGCGTGATAACCGCTTATCGCGGCGCGCATCTTAGGCCTACAGGAACTAGTTTTTCGATATCATATTGTTAGAACTAATCTAATGAGATCATTTCTCGTTCCCACCCTGTATGTGAACACGTAGTAAACCCAGCCTCGTGCAGGTTGGACCCAGTGGTACGCGTGGGAGTGGGGCGAGGTGTGCGCGAGTGCCGAGGCGCTGCGGGCCGGCGGCGCGGGCGCGCGCGCTTTGGTCCTGGCGCTGTACGCGGCGCGCGCGGGAAGCGAGGCCGATCGTGCGGCCCTGCGCGCGCTGCATAATGCGACACTCGGGGATCACGCGCTAGCGCACGACGCGCGCCCGCTTGGACTACCGCTGCGTCTACCACATGCCACGCGCACACAGGTACATTATAATAAAGCAGCGCTGTACGCGGCGCGCGCGGGGAGCGAGGCCGACCGCGTGCCTTACATAATGCAACGCTCGGAGATCATGCGCTCGCTCACGACGCGCGCCCGCTTGGACTACCGCTGCATCTACCACATGCCACTCGCACACAGGTACATATTATAAAACTGCGCTTTGGTCCTGGCTCTGTACGTTGCGCGTGCGGGCAGCGAGGCTGACCGTGCAGCCCTGCGCGCGCTGCATAAAGCAACGCTCGGGAATCACGCACTAGCGCACGACACGCGCCCGCTTGGACTACCGCTGCGTCTACCACATGCCACTCGCACACAGGTACATATTATAAAACTGCGCTTTGGTCCTGGCTCTGTACGCTGCGCGTGCGGGCAGCGAGGCTGACCGTGCAGCCCTGCGCGCGCTGCATAATGCAACGCTCGGGGATCACGCACTAGCGCACGACGCGCGCCCGCTTGGACTACCGCTGCGTCTACCACACGCCACTCGCACACAGGTACATATTATAAAACTGCGCGCTGGTACTAGCTCTGTATGCGGCGCGCGCGGGAAGCGAGGCCGACCGTGCAGCCCTGCGCGCGCTGCATAATGCAACGCTCGGGGATCACGCGCTCGCGCACGACGCGTGTCCACTCGGTCTACCGCTGCGTCTACCACATGCCACCCGCACACAGGTACATATTATAAAGCAGCGCTCTAATGCTAGCTCTATACACGTGCGCGAGTAACGAGGCTGATCGCGCGGCCCTGCGCGCCTTACATAATGAAACGCTCGGGAATCATGCGCTAGTACACGACCCGCGTCCTCTCGGTTTACCACTGCGTCTACCACATGCCAAGCGCACACAGGTCAGGTACCTAATATTTTAAAACTGCGCTTTGGTCCTGGCTCTGTCCGTGGTGCGCACGGGTAGCGAGGCCGACCGCGCGGCCCTGCGCGCACTGTATAATGCGCCCGCTTGGTCTACCGCTGCGTTTGCCACACGCCATCCGTACACAGGTACATATAAAGCCGCGCTCTGATGCTAGCTCCGTACGCGGCGCGCGCGAGGAGCGAGGCCTTGGACTACCGCTGCGTTTGCCACATGCCACCCGCACACAGGTGCATTGAAAACTGTCTCGATTTTCAGAGTTAAATTGAAGCGTTTTTAAAGAAGTTGTGTCTTAGAATTATTGATTTCAAGTCAGCTACCCAATTCTAACTCAATCGGATTTTTTAATGATAACCGATATTCAACCATGATTCAAGTGCGAGTACTTTATCTATTGTATACAAACAAAAATTTTGTTTTTTAGGAATATTCCTCGGCGTTTGAAGCTCTCCCTCAAATTGATACACCAGAAATACTCGGTCTGCCGGCCAATTGCAGAATCGCATGGGAAAGAAACGCCGCCAACGATATCATAAATGGTTTAAAAGGTGAGTAATCATTCAATGCCAGGGGGGGGGGAGCAAAGGGTGGCACCCGGGGGGGCACCCCCCCCCCCCCCCCGTCATAATATAAATTATAGCNAAATTATAGCCTAAGGCATCCCAGAATGGCACCCCCCCTGTCATGAAATCACGACCGTCCTTGCCATGCAGATGCGTCAGTGAGAACTAATTGCGCGATTTGTGTCACCCCCTGATGCTTGGCACCCGGGGCGGACCGCCCCCACCGCCCCCCCCTTACGCCGCTACTGTTCAATGCTGTTAATTTATTTTGTTCACTGAGTATTGCTTAATATTATGTACTAAACTTAATTTACAGAATTGGACTCGACAACGAGTAGCCAAGAAAATAATAAAAACAATGTCACGCCTTTGAAAATGATTCTGGCACTTTGGAAGAAGTTGATGTCTGGAAGTCCTCTTTTAAAAGCAGATTATAAGATTGACGTAAGTTCTTTATTCTCTAGTGATGGTATAAATTGAGTATGTATGTTTATTATTTAAAACTAGCGGGCGTCCGCGACTTTGTACGCCCCGTTTTACCCCTTTAGGGGTGAAGTTTCGTAAGATCCGTTCTTAGCGGATTTTTGCACTCTATAAGAAATCTACCTGTCAAATTTCAAGTTTGTAGGTATTACAGTTTCTGAGATTTCGTGATTAATCAGTGAGTGGTATTTCCCTTTTAGTTAAACACTAGCGGCCGCCCGCGACGCGGGCTAGCGGTCGTAAGCGTGGATCCCGTTTTAGCCTCTTAGGGGTGGAGTTTAGTAAAATCCGTTGTTAGTGAGCACCTACGTTTTAAAAGGAACCCCCATGCAAAATTTGAGACTCCTAGCACTTGTAGTTTCTGAGATTTCGTGATGAGTGAGTCAGTCGATCAGTGGCTTTCGCTTTTATTGATAAGATTGGATTAATTTGATTTGTTCGTTGCAGCGCATGCGCGGATGGTGGGGCAGCGTGTGCGCGAGCGAGGCGCGCGAGGCGGCGCGTGCGGCCCGCGGCCTTCACCTTGCGCTAGCTGTCCTGGCGCGCCAGGCAACCCGCGCGCCGCCGCTGCACAAGGTATGTGGTGTTGACTCCTGATGGTGGGGCAGTGTATACACGAGCGAGGCGCGCGAGGCGGCGCGCGCGGCCCGCGGCCTGCACCTCGCGCTGGCGGGCCTGGCGCGCCACGCGGCCCGCGCGCCGCCGCTGCACAAGGTACGATGTCAATGCTGGGCAGTTGCAGCACAAACGGCATGCGTATTACGAATCTTAAGGTTAAGTTGCACCACCTTACTTTAACAAAACATCCGAAATCTGTCAAACTCCATCAAAAATCACCAGTTATCGACGTGGCGTAACTATACCATCCGAGGCCTGTGGCAAATTCGGGGCATAGGGCCCTTGACGTATCTAGGGTTATTTTCAGAGAGGCCCCGGGGCCATCGCGCCCTGAAGCATCGCGAGGGGCGGGGGGCGATCAGGTTCTTGGGCCGGGGCCCCCTTGGGTCGGGGGCCCGTGGTGTTTTACCAGCCCTGCCACCCTCTATAGTTACGCCACTAGTTAAAGTTAAAGTTACTTTTTTAGGTGGTGCAACACAGCCTTAGCAACAAACTGTTGTCAGTTGTACAATAGGAATGATAATGATGATGATTTCTCTCATAAACTTAGGTTGACGTTAAAGTAGGAGATCAATCAATAAAGAGATATTTTCTCGTAGGTGCCGGAAGAGTGGCAGGCGCTATGGGCGGGCCCGCAGCGGCCCGAGGAATACGTGCGCGAGTTCTGCGCCCGCGCGCGCGCCGCGCTCGAGCGGCTCGCCGCGCCCTTCGCAGACGACTACCTGCCCGCAGGTGACTTACTTGCCTTATGGTCCTATGTCCCCTAGATGGGGCAGAGGGCGTCCACAACAGTCCTCCATCTCGTTCGGTCTTGAGCTTCTCGCTTGATCTCGCTCCAGGTCTTGCCGATCTTCTTCGCCTCGTCCGCTACAGTGCGCCGCCAAGTTTGCCTGGGTCGACCACGTTTGCGTTTTCCTTGGGGATTCCAATCCAGAGCCTGCTTAGGGATGTGATCGGGGTCCCTTCGGAGAGTGTGGCCAATCCAGTTCCACCTGCGGCGCTTGGTCTGCTGGTCGATCGGAATTTCTTGGCAGCGTTCCAATAGCTCAACGTTGGACATTTTCTCGGGCCAGTATATGCCGAGAATTCGGCGAAGGCAGCGGTTGATGAAGACCTGCAGCTGGTGCGAGATAACCTTGGTGACCTTCCACGTTTCACACCTATAGAGCAGAACGGATTTAACGTTGGACCCGAATATTTTGATCTTGACCCTTCGGGTCAATTTCCGTGACTGCCATATGGGGCGAAGTTGTGCGAAGGTTGCCAAGGCCAGAGCTACCTTCGCCCGCAGGTAGGATGAATCATTTTGGAAACAAATATCAGTATTCAGTACAGCCATTTGAGACTATTTTTTTCTAACACTGCAGGGGAACGTAAACTTATAAGAATTTAATAAACTTATAAAAAATTTACTTCTCACAATAATTTAAGTTTTCATTTTCTGTATTTGTTGCTGTTGGTACACACAGCATAAGGAAACTTGTTGTCCCATCACAAAAAATAATATGTCAGTATCGCTACTGCTTACATGTATATTTGCAACTTAGTTAATAATTGTCAGTGTGCGAATCTGACTCGCATTTGACCGTAATTTTAGTATGCGTCAAAGTCGTATTGTAAATGAAGTGACGATAGCCGAACGGTGAAAGATGTCGGACTGGCCGACTCGAGATCCGAGGGAGGAACGCTGCTTAGAACCCCGCCGCCGCTCGACTATTGTGATGAACCCACTCGTAACACAAACTTAATACGAGCGGTTACGGGACTTTTTATTGAACAAAATGTCTAAGGCTGAGTTTCACCACCAATACTTTAACCGTAACCATAACCGGTGGTTTTGTATGGAGTTTGACAGCTTTTGTTATATTTAAAGTAAGATGGTGCAACCTAGCATTATTATACAGGGTGGAATTTTGTAATGCCACCTGGAGGGAAAGTACTCTTAATATTGTAGATCGACATTTTTTCTCAAAGAAAACATTCCTTTGTTTTTGAAAAGAAATAGAACTGCATTCAAAGATTTCCAAAAATTTGCTTGCCACATTTGGAATTAGAACCAAATAAAATCTGTTAAAAATTACACCCTGTATTTTTATTGCATCGATCGTTAGGGTTGAGTATAAGGATGAAATCTTTCTAACAAACTTGATAAATCAAATGGAAGGAAAACCATGAAATCTTAAATTATTTTAATTATGTACAGGAAATTGTATGGTATGGTAGAGAATTTTCGAAAAATTTTCTAAAATCTTTGAATGCATTTCTCTTTCTTTTCAAAAATAAAGGAATGTTTTCTTTCAATTAAATTTTCTATCTACAGTATTAAGAGTACTTTCCCTCCAGGTGGCATTACAAAATTCCACCCTGTATAAAAAAATGTTGCAGAGACGGACCTGCGCGGCTGGCTGCGGCCGGCGCGCGCGCTGTGGGCCCTGCGCGCCGTGAGCGCCGCGCGCCTGCGCACCGCGCCGCACGACCTCACGCTCGCCGCCAAGTGGGACTGCACAGGTCAGTGAGCTAAGAATATACACATTCTGTATCACGCTGTTCTTTTCAAATACCTATAAAGTACTCTTTCTTAGAGATAAAATAAACGCATGTGTTGCTCTGTAAAATAAAAGATTTATTCAATATTAATACATTTCTCATAGAAATAAACTAACTTCCCTATTCATTAGCTATAACACAAACCTGTAAAATAAAAGAAACGACATTTAAAGTTTATTATTATCTCTTAAAATATCTTCATATTTTCCACATAGACTATTCACTGTGACATTCATTTGATAGACGTCAAAGTCATAGACAAACCATAGACCCTAAAGTAAAAAGTATTTACTTTACATACCTATATCTCAAATTAGGTATTTTTGTTTGAAATCTCGCTTCGTTGTTTCGAATCTTTGAGAAAGTCAACCGAAGTTTGAAACGCGTGTCGAATGTCTCTACGTAAACCGAAGTTGAATGTAGTCAGACGTTTCTTGTTTAACTTCGGAGCTCTTCGACTCGAACGCATTTGAATAAGAATCTTTATTTGCGCAAAAACGTGGTAACCTATATTTACCGACAACTTTTCGAAAGTCGGGCAAGGCGAGGCGAAACTAAGTGAAGTGCATACCTAATCACGCTACTTCGCCGACATTAAAACCACGGTGTAATATTACGGTTTAATACGGGCGCATGCCATTTTATTCTACGCTAAAAGTTTGAACGCTATCCAGTATCTTTTCTATCAGTCCCATTTCAATTCTTGTTATAATTGTGATCTAGGTCTATTTAAGGTTCAGCCAAACCAACGCGATCGGCCGGCGTGCAGCGATGACGATCAGACTTAAATGCATTGATTACCATCGCTGCACGTCGGCTGATCGCGATGATTTGGCTGAATCTTTGGAAAGAAAAGAAAGAAAGAAAGAAAAAATGTTTATTCAGTATCATCGACAATACACTTTCAATACTTAACATTATTTAATGAGAAGGTAATTACAATGATACTGAAAAGGTATCCACTCAGCATGGTGTCGTAGCATCTCAGTAGATAATGCCACGATGCTGGTCTTCCGTGGATTACCTATATTGTTTGATATAAAAGACAATGCCGGAAATTGGCGTCTTTTTTTTTCGCGCGGCCATCGACCAAACTTTGTTTTTTGATTACAAAATAGTGTAATAAACCAAACTTACTATGACATGTATACCTCTAAACTCAGTCTGAACTGAGTTACGAGCATTAGAAGTTTGATAAATAGTAAACGTCATAAAAACAAAATATGCTCGAAAACACATAAGACTGCTTTGTTCACGAAAAATGTCACGGGTATGGCACCACGTATTTTCAATAAGTTACCGGACAACATAAGAAATAAAGAAGAATTAATTTCCTTTAAAAATGCATTATTTCACTTTCTGGTTGAGAAGGCATACTACTCCATTAACGAATTCCTCCTGGACAATTTAAAAATGTGATCATAAAAATTAAATGTTTGCATGTAAAATTATAAAATGAACAGGTTTTAAGTAAATTAGTTAATTAGTATTAAGTAACCATTTATATGTATATTGCACGCCATCTGCTTGGCAAATTGTAGCTGAACAATTTTACGTTTAAATTTAAGATCCATCAATGTATGATATGTACCTACAATTGCAATAAACTAATTTGATTTGATTTGATTTGATTTGATTTGATTTGGAGAATTGACCCTTATGTACGCACAATATGTATATAGAAAACTCCATCTCAACTAACTTTCCAAACGTCAAATTGCCACAACCAAATTCAGTGTACTTCAGAATCGCATACCAATCACGGAGCACGATGTACTCCGTTGAGGCGAAGTAAAACGGTTATCTAACTAAAATTGTATAGACGCCTCAGTCAATGAACTTGCGACTCCAGATAGACAAGGCAACCGTGAACCGCGTTTAGCTAACAGACGCAGATTTAAGAAAAACTTTTTATAACATTAGGTATTTACTTGACACTGGCTGGAAGCTTGAGAGAAAAAAAAGTCTTTTGTCTTTTAAAATGCGCTGTATTTTCTTTTGTTTTATTCGCTTTTTGAATTGAGAACTTTTGAACCGCGAACGTAGCTGAAACGTAGAGCCTTGAATTAAACTTTAATATTTTTTTTATTTTCATAATACTGGCTACGAACGAAGCCATGGTGAAAAAAACTTTAGAGAGAATGCAAGCGAATTCCGCTTTTAAAATTTAAAATGCTAGATTTTTTTTTTTCATTTGAATTCACTTTGGAAATGAGAAGTTTTAATAGTTGGAATCACAGTTTGAAATGCAGCAAAATTAATTAGGCTTGCAGTTTTGCGGATTCTACTATCGAAAGACGAGCCAGGAGTTTGATATACCTAGCTAAAGTATGAATTAACTAAATAGTATTAACTAGATCTTAGTCGCACCTTTCTTTACAAAATGTTGAGAATAAAAAAAAATTAAAATTGTTTAAGATAGGGTCCAAATCACTCCATTAAAATGACGTTAGAGTTAGCAGAGCTCCTTTCTCCGTTTAAATAATAGTTAGATTGTTAAGAGTAATGTGATTTTTATCTTTTTCAGAGTCCATGGCAGTTACGACGACTTAGCGAGGGGCGCAAAGCAAGATTGTAATCAATACAAGTTACTTTAAAATTAAAATAATTAGCTGTGTGTCAGATGATTTAAAGCTAATCTTTTCTATTAACTTGCAAGACAAAATAAATAATATGCCAGCGTAAACTAATATTATCTATCACGCCCTATAGTTTGTATAGGGCATAAAAGCACATCAAACGTTACATTTTGGCTTTAAATTCATCACTATCCCGAACTANGTGATTAGGATCCTCAAGTCCCGCGCCCGCGCCGCCGCTGCTGCTGCGGTACCTGCCCACGGTAACTATACCCGGGTGATTAGGATCCTCAAGTCCCGCGCCCGCGCCGCCGCTGCTGCTGCGGTACCTGCCCACGGTAACTATACCCGGGTGATTAGGATCCTCAAGTCCCGCGCCCGCGCCGCCGCTGCTGCTGCGGTACCTGCCCACGGTAACTGTACCCGAGTGATTAGGATCCTCAAGTCGAAAGATTTTCAACGTTTCCTAATGAGTAGATCTTCAAATCGTTAAGAAAGCTTATGTAATATAGCAGATAATAACATTTTATTTATTTAACAATGTTTCAACATTGAATAGTTGTTATTTTTATTTAAATGTACTAATTTTAATCCTATTTCAATTTATATTAACCACCGTGCGGCCCTTTCAGTTTAACGTTTTTTCATGTGCCACGCACGCACGTCACTTAAGAGATTCTTGGATGTCCTCATACTCTCCTAAATCTTTGCTTATTAATGAACTATCTATGATGGGATTCGGTTTATTATAGCAATGTAGAAGATCGCATGCAGTATGCTCAAATATGATTTTGGGATGTCGCGAGCAAAAAACCTCGGTCTTCAAATCATTTATGTATTCAAATCGCCATCGTAAGATTTTGCATGGAAACTTAAACAGCGCCCTCGCGGCCGTAACGAGAACTAAAAGACAATAGCATGAACCTTGTTGTGACTCGAGAGTTCACACATTCATTTGTTTATGTATTTCCCCAGGGTGGTGAGATATCGCTTCGCCCCGAGGGCACGGCGCAGGTGCCGCTGTACGCCAGCGCGGCGCGCGAGACAGCCCTGGCGTGGCTGCGCGCGCCGCTAGCTCGCCCGCTCGCGCGCCCGCTCGCCGCGCTGCACGCCGTCGCGCTCGCCGTCGCGCCCGCCGCCCACTGAGCCGCCGGCGGCCGGGCTCATACAGATCATAGCTACCGGTTGCTAATAGGGAATATGTATCGATTTTAAAAGTTCATAATGTATGTATAAATAAACACTAGCTAAATCATAGAATTTCTGAAAAACTAGTTGAAACAGTGGCAGCGCAGCATTGGTTGGAACCCGGGGCGATTTTTGTGACCCAGGATTTTTGGTTTATTTGCGCGACTGTTGTCACCCCCCGATTCTTGGCACCCGGGGCCTTCTTTGTAATCATTTTAGAGTTAATTCTTTATCTTGAGTGTATCATTATCCTTGTGTGTAGCTGTAGTAGCCAGTAGTAGGTCGCACTTAATTACAATGTAATAAAATACTCTAAAATTAAATTTTGCCTTTTTTTAAGTAACCCCGAATTCCCAAAACGCCAGGTGAAATATCAATAAAACAAAATAATTTATATCTAAGATGCTTTTATTTTGGTAAAAATTTACCATAAATGTTGGTAACTTTGGATAGTCAGTACACGTATTAAAGCAAATTACAATTTTGTTGCTCTAACAATGCTATAACAATTATCTAAAAATAATGTTAATTTACCAACTAATGTTTTATTCAAAATAATTGAGAGCACTTTTAGGTACTTACAAAATAAAGTCGAAAGCAGAATTAATGATTTTTACAAAAAAAAATGTATGTAAATATAACTAAAATTATTCATTCTCTCAACTCAACATTGTGAAACATAAAAATTATTCTGGTTCTGGTTTACATTCATAATTGTTTTTTTTAATCATTAATATCTGCCTCAGAGCAACCCAGACCATATTCTTATTAATTAATTGCTATTACATCTAAAGTATTATACAAAAATATTATGTAATAATCGGCCATTCTCAGATGAGCTAGTTTTTGCGTGTCCGGACTGTTAAATCGTTAAAAATGACAAATTAGAGACATGCAAGTATTTTTATATGTTACTTAACAACCCCATCCAGTTGTGCATTAAATCATAGACCTCTATTTTAAGTATTTGTGACTTAATTATTTTCATGAACCTCTGTTCTCTAATTACCGTTACGCGTCCGCACATTGACTTAATGTTAAAACTTGGCTGTAATTTTTATGTCGTATAGATTTGGTTTACTCCATTCAACATTTTAAAGAGTACAAAAGATTGTCTTACGCATAGCAAAATAACTATTCAATAGAACCATTCTGTAAATAATTAGAATTAAAAAACTGCTTGTCCGAGCGAAAGTCCTAATTCCCGTGACGTTTTCTGTTTTTGGGCACACAAGCCTAAATAATAATATTTGACACATCATTTACGCGCGCGGCGCGAGCCCTTAGTTAGTTCTAAGACCTGTTAGCAAGTAGACGTCTATTGCGTTGGCGTACCGTCGATGAATTGCGTAAGAGTATAATTACCATATCTTTGGTTTTCAATTTTTCTATTTACCATGTCCTTATTTTTATACTCGATTTTTGAAGGTAGATCCACGTTGTTAATTTAAATAGATTCAGTACTTTAGCCTTCATACGTTGTAGTAAGACAGTATTTGCATACGCTGAAGATTTTGGAAATTTTGAAGAAAAACTATCGTTTTATAATTTCCATGTACTAATTACCGTATATTTATAATCACCGTTGTATGAAATTATTACCTACAAATTGCACTCACGATTGAATAAGTATGATGATAAAATATGAAATATACCTAGACTTTCGCATAACAACTGTACGGACTTTTCTTCCAATCTGACAATCAAAATTTTAAAAAACTTTCGTTAGAGTAACCTCGAAATAGATTCGATTTCATGACGAATGTTCAGCTTCAGTTGCTGCATGGTTGTTGGATTTAAGAGTATATTTTAACCCCTAAGGTGACCCCACAAAAAGAAGTTACCTGGAGTGAAATCGGGGCTTTCTGATGGCCAGGAGATGTCACCCCTGCATGAAACATGTCTCGTACCAGATATTTATTTTTACTATTAGTATAATTGATATTAACATCTTAAATCATTAATTAATTCTAATATAATACCATTAACATCTATCCATAATACCTTTGCCCTAAGAAGATGAGATTTTCCAACAGTAACACTTACCTGGCGTGATCACATTAAGAACAAAAGAGAACAAATCAACAGACAATGGGACTTTTCAAGGCAAGAGTGTATAGGCACTTTGTACCATCCTAAACTGCATCCTACCTGCTTTGTTATGCATAGAAAAAACTTCGTGATATGCAATGGGTACTGGACAGAAGAAGCTTGGAGAACAAACTATATACAAATGGATCCTAAAACCCATGTAGACATGGCATCGACTTAGCCTCGCAAATGTAGAAATACTTTAACGTTTTCAAAATAAAGTTTTAAAAATCTTGAGCTGTGCACCTTGGTTTACAAAGTCCACTGAAGTGATACCAAACGTCAAAGAGGGTGTGGAAAATCCTGTAAAGCTTACAACCAAAGACTAGAGTCTAGTCTAGATTGCATGAAGGTCTAGTGACTAGACCTTCATGCAATCTATTTGCTGCATCCCTTCTAAATTCTAAGAATTCTGCATTTAGGCTCAGGAGAAAGCGAATAGCATCAATCTGAAAACTTATTGTAAAAGAATCGAGGTGACAAATCATTTGATATGCTGAGCTGGAACTGTCATTATTACAAATTCAATTTAATCTGATAATGGGTGATGGCTGATCGCAGATAAATTAAAAAGAGGAAAAATCACTTAAATCATTGATTAATTTTTCGATATATGCATATCCGAAAAATCAAATTTGTGAGATCTCCTGATCCATTATCTGTACGTTAAATCGTTTGTACCACATTGAAATCAAATAAATGATTATTAAGATTCTGATGAAATGTGACACGTAGCCCCGTCTGGCCGAAACTAAGTGTTCCTGTTATAGCCTCAATTATTGCAGTATACTGAAAATATATTGATACAATAAATAATAGAAATGAGTGTTTTCCTTTTTTCAAAGGGTTATTAAGTGTACCTACAGCGTTTTTTATGACGCTATATATTTATATACAAATATATCAATGCAAGATATTGTTTTCTTGCTATTTTACATATTTTTTCTAATTACCGTTAGATTCAGTATTAGCCTTATCTAATTACCATGACCATAAAATTTTTGAGTCTCATTTACGCGAAAACTGCTTGGAATAATTTGACGCCTTAACGATTGTTAAATTCGTACTTTTCATGTGTTTCATATTTAAATGCGTTTAAGTCAATTAAGCCAAATTTCAAAAATGATATGGTAATTAGGCTGAGAACGCCTAATCGTGAGAATGGCCGTAATATTAAACTTAAGAGATCACTTGTAACATTTTGGCAACTAGCCTAAGGTAAAAATCACATAAGTACCTACATATCTATCACAATATGAACTGAAGTTTTTTAAAATGTTATGCGCAAGTGCGCAATGCAATTTAAAAATATTAATACTCAAACTTTTAAAAAATAAGTACCTGTTTGTTTTGTTACAAACAAAACAAAATTAATATCAATACTGCTAATTGTGTATAATTAATGATTCCTTCAATCATCCTCACAATAGAAAAATCTACGAAGGGTCTGGATGGTAGCAGTTGACGTGATTGCTTTGTTGAAAATTGTGAATGTTTTCCAAGACGTTGATGACGAATGAAGGGCCGCCAATGACGCGCGTTTCAGAGATTGAAATGCCGCTGGTTTTTGGCACCCTATTCGAAGATTCCTCTCGCGGGTAGTTGTTATTCGAGTCTTGAACCTATAATGAACGGAGACATAATTAATTTCAGGTAAAGGAAAATTCGTACAATACTTACTACATATCTATAATAAATCCCAGATCATTTGAAGCTGAATCCATGTCCAAAAATAGCTTTCATAAGAGCAATATTAAGATTATCTAAGTTACAAGTCAGTTATGCCCGTTTTCACCATCAATCCCTAAATTTTAAGTGACCCCTATGTAATCAAAATTCCTGTTAATTGTTACCATAGGGATCACTTAAAAATTAGGGATTGATGGTGAAAACGGACATTAGTCAAGTGGTTGAAAAGCACATTACGCTTACAAAATGCACACAGGCAGTTTCACCAACCTGTAGTACTCTGCTATTCTTGTCTCGATGTGTCGATGCGTTACCACTACTTTGATCACTGTTGGCAAAAAATAATTACTTATTAGTAAGTAAGAGGGTTACTAAACATAATATGTAGATGAAAACGTAACGGTCGTAGGTAAGAAGTAACCGAACGATACTTACGCTGCAGTAGAATTATTATCTAACTTTACAATATTCCTTGTGGAGAGATGCGAGTCATTACTGGCCGCCGCTGGAACGTAATCAGCCTCTGGTTCTGGTGTGTTGCATCTGAAAGACAGTAATTTTTTACTTTCTTTGGAATATTCACCTTTGCTCTCACAGTTTATAAACAGAGCGCAAAGTGTACATATTTTGTTTGCTTTTAAAACAAAAACATCGATTCATTTATAGGTAGATAGGTGGATTTCCTGCTTACACTCACCTGCTCTGGTTCTGCGGTATGCGCACGTACGCTGGACTGTTGAAGACACGAGCCTCTTGGCTACCCGCAGTTTCACGAGTCCGCGACGTCTGTGTTTCCGGGGAAGGCTTCAAGCACGGTTGTGGTGAATCTGCTGGTAACGATAATGACAATATTACCACGATGCCTGACATATAAAGTACTCGTAAATGTAGAACCGATAACGGCTTTAGGAAATTAGGACAGTCGCTTTAAATATAACAAAAGCGCAATAAAGAAAAAATATTTTAAATTGACACAAAATGTTTTTAGCTTACCAATTAGACTCCGGATCTCTGGCATTTCAGTAGCAGATCCAGGCTGAAAAGTGGAAGGCAGTTGATAGTTGTAGGGTGGCGGAGGCACTGCCTCTAGTTCGGCTGCCTCATTCCCACGCATAGAACGCACAGAAGTTTGCGATGCTGAAAATTTTCGAATTCAAGTGTAAGAATCATGTCGCGTAAGTACCTACTTTTTTTTAAATAAACTGTTTATGTAAATGATAAAATTAAATAACACTTACAATAAGACACAACTTTAAACATCTTAGTCCTTAAAAATACGCAGATTGTAATCACCATCAGCAAAAGCCCGAAACCTATAGCAACCCACGCGTATGGAGGGAGGTAGGGATGGTGTTGTTTAATTTTCTCTGACGACGATTCGCAATCAGTGTTAACTTTTTCGTTGCCATTTTGAGTATTCGCCTGTGAACTGAAAACAAAAGGAAAGTATGTAACTTAAATGTTGCTAATAGCTGATTCATGTGCTTCTATTTTTATCATCCTATTTTTGCTTACCCCATGAGACAATCCCCGCACTGCACGAGGGACTTGACGCAGAGGTCGCGCTGAGGCGGCGCCTCGCGCTGGTGGTCCTCGCAGCTCAGACAACCGCGACAGAATAAAACCGTCTCATCACAGTAGAATCCAATCGAACAGTGAGAATCCTCAGTGCACGGAGCTTGATTTGATTGAGCATGCACGAAACACATGACCAGCAATACAATCCTAAAAGCAAAATAAACGTGTTATCCTATGTTGCGTACGGGTAGTTAAACAATACGAACTGAGTGTTACTTATGTTTTTTTAAATATTTTTTACAAAAAATATTTTTGAACATAGGTTTAAACCTAGGAATATCGTCTGTCAGTGTTAAAGAGTTATAGTTTACTTCCAAACTAGGTAGCTCAGAAGTAAACTCACAGATTTAAGTGGATTAGAGAGTATCTATGTGAGTAAACTGATTGAATACTTATTTGTTAGTTAGCCTACTTCAATAACTTAACTTTTATGTAAGAAGCATGACGCTCTTTAGGAAAGTTTTATTTAGAACCTTAAAAATCTATTTACCTAACATAGGTAGGTTACTTTGTTTCATAACTCAAATACTACTGTGATGATTGTGCTACTGAGAAATAAAATCGGCACTTACCTGAACCTGATCATCTCAGCGACTTCTGCAAACGGTGGGTAAACACTGGTTCGAAACTTTATAACTAATTAACAAACTTTTACTGTAACGAACAAGTATTAAAATTTACGTTAACTTCACCTTTACATACACATAAAATAGGCACACCTTCACCTTCACTACAAATCCTTGTGCATCCCTCTTTTACTTGCAAACAAGTGAAGACTTGCTCTATGCGCTCCTCCTTCGCATTGTGTTTTGTTTTGAACGCAGGATCATGTCGCGACATGTTTTGCCAACGGAGAGCACAGCCGCGGAGACGAACAAAAAAAAAACAAAAGAATTGAACAGGCACGCTCCTGTAAAATCTATTTGAGCAAAATCACTTTTATTCAAACTTTGCTAAGAATAATAGTGCAGATAAGAGTAAAGTTTTGAAAAAAATACCATCCATCATTCTGGCGTCAGTCAAGTAAATCTAGACTGATACACTGAAATGAAACCAAACTGAGCGTGTAACCTTCGCGCCAATACATAGGCAAAGACCGTTACCAAAGGACTCACTACTGCACAGTGATAATTTTGTTATTACTCGTATAGGAGTAGTCTTTGTATTGCTGTTTTTGGGTAAGTTGATCGAGTTAGACCCCAAATTCTCTCCGTTATGATTCAAATCCTTGCTGAATATTTATTTATACTTAGGCAAGTATTATAATTAAAGATAAATACAGTAGAACGCCGATTATCCGAATTAATTGGAACCGGGGTCGATTCGGATAATCGAAAATTCGGATAGTCGGACATAGACTGGTAATAAAGAAAAAACGTGTTAAAAACAAACTGACACAAATAGAATAAACTTTATTAACTGTGTTTAGAGTTCTACAATAACGCTTTGTTGAAAAATATCTAGACTCCTGTGAGTTCCAATTTGTTACAATACAATAAAACAAAAATTCCTAGGTTTTAATTTTTTATATTACCCTTAGAACCGATTCGGATAATTGGCGATTCGGTTAATCGGCGTTCGGATAATCGGCGTTCTACTGTAATGTGTGAACTGAGAGGTTCAATTTCAAAAAAATTAGGTGTATCTGTTTTGCTCGTGTAGACAAACACCAGTAACGTTGAATTTAGGTGAAATTAACTGAAGTGAATATTATGATATTGCCTTTATTAATATAAGAATATTGCTAATATCTTTCGATGAATTTTAAGGGCAACTTGAATAAAACCACTGTATAAAAATACATAACCAGTTTATTAAAAAGTTCCTTGAAAATGATTTAAACAATTATTTTCCGGCGACTTTCTCGACTAGAAATATAGGAAATATTTCACTAACGAGGAACATTTTGAAATAATAAACTAAAACGTGATTAAAAAGTGCAAATCAAATGTTATCTCCGATCATTTGAAATCATAAATTGGAGTTTTTTACATTAAAACAATATTAAATAACATTTACATGGCGTTACTGAATTAATTACAACAAAATCTATGATGAATGTTGATTAACTAATAATTTCCATGGAAGGCGTTTTGTTCCCGTTGTCTTTGCATTGTGTCGTCTAATTCAATAACACTCTGTCAACACGTTATGCAATCGATTGATAGAAACATATTTTAACATGATTACAAAAATTAAAATAAATATTTTTAGTTATCTCGGCGTTTTTACACTATAAAATTACATTAAAACCAACGCACATATGATACATAATGGAGGGACCATATGAATACAATACAACACTATGTCAACATTTCAAAGAAATTATCAATAGGTCGACGCGTCTAAAGTTGTACAGATAACAGTGATGTTCCACTTGAAGAAAACATTTCCTCACAACAACATTTTCAACAGTTTAAAAAAATATATTTGATTTCGATTTGTATTGTATTGATAAAAGTTACATAGCTTATTATATTTTCGGATAATATACATTTCAATACATTCCAAGATGATAATTTGGTCCCATAATATAGTTAAGTACTTTTATTAAGTCGCAATTGACATGAATTTTGATAGTAAATTATTTTTTTGATTAATTAAATTACCCAGTAAGAGAGATGCCATACGTTCGTTGACGTTGCGGTGCGTCACGTGTAATATTGAACTATAAATCTGACGTGCGGGTGCGCCCTCGCTGCGGTGACGCACCGCAACGTAAACGCCCGTGTGGCATCTCTCTTACTATGTAAAGAAATACACAGATATGACATTATACCATATATGTTGTAATCTTTAGATTTCATAAGAGGATAGATAGAGCTGCCACTTTTACATATTTGCAACACACACGAATTTTGTTTAAAAAAATACATACTTACAAAAAATATAGAACAATATCTTTTATATCACATTGAGGAAGACACGAATGTATAAAATTTCATACTCAAATCACATAATATCCCAATCTATAGACAGACCGAGAGATCACACCAAAAGGCAAATTTTTTCTTCAACTCCAGAAATGCAATTAAGAGCAAAACTGTCACCCTCTAGATTCTACCTACAAGACAACAAGCTAATTTTGAGTCGAGGAGGAAACTTGAGATCAGTTCATCAGATCTTTAGTGCCCACGCACATTAGACGGCCGGGCCGCGCGACCAGGTCGCTGCGGCACACGGTGGGCTGATATTAGAGCTTCATAGACTTAGCGTCGCTCAAAAATCAAGTGCCTAATTTTGAAAAAATAAATATGCCAATGTGTTCCTTTACCAAAAAGGAATATTTTATGTTATGTAACGTTTCTTGATAAAGTTATTATTTAATAAGTTATTGACAATTTCCTTTTTTTTTGTATGGAGCTCAACATTTATTTTTATTTTATTCGTTATTCTCAAGCTTTCTAAAGAAATTGACTTTTGTATTACGTAATGCAACATATAAGCTATGTTATCACCAAGTGTCGCACTTCGGAAATCTTCGGAACAATGTCATTTTGGACTTTAAAATAAAAAAAATAAAAAATTTAAATAACTGCCAAATTTTGTAAAAATAACTACGCCAATGTGTTCCTTTGCCAAAAAGAAATATTTTATGTTATGTAACTTTTCTTGATAAAGTTATTATTTAATAAGTTATTGACAATAATTACTATTTTTTTGTATGGAGCTCAACATTTATTTTTATTTTATTCGTTATTCTTAATTCTTATAATTATTTTGAATTGAGAAAGCGAAATACGTTGGTCACACGATTTTAGGTACCTAAAATTTTGAGTAATAATACAAGATTGCCGTGAAACCGAACACCAGCAACCAATCACAGCGTTCTATTCGGTTAACGTCAGTCGCTCTTCGACCATTGGGGAGGTGAGATAGGTCGATCGTCGCTCCGCGAAAAAAATACGTAACTTTTTGTGATTATCCATAGACTTACCGTCGCTTGCTTGAACAATATTTTCTACCTCTAAAATTTAAACAATTTAATTGAAACTTAGGCCATTGAAAACTTAACATGTTAGACTTATTTGTGTAGTATTCAACTTGAACCGTTAAACTCAAATTTAGGAATAATAAATAAAAAACTAAAATTTTCGTCACCTTCGTGGCATCACCTTCGTGGTGTTTTATACACGAAGGTGATTTTAGGCCACGAAAGTGATTTCTTGCTTTGGTTTATTTTAAAATATAATGACTGGTGTTTAAGTTTTTACAATATTTTAAAACGAATAAATTATACGTATTGAGTAGAGTTCAGTACATCAATAAAAAAATAAGGGCCTCGTATTTTTTTTGTCTGTATGTATGTCTGTATATGTGACTGTGTATCTGTTTGTAAGATTAATTTAATCTGAAGTTTGAGTTAAAAGTTGTACAACAAAAATACGAGGCCATCTGGCCTCAATAAATAAACATATTTTTTGTTGAGGGACTGATAAGTTAAGAGTTCTTTTTTATTGAGGTACTGATAATCCTTTTTTTTTTGCTTTTTTAGCATTTCAGAATGCCACCAGTATCACCCTTAAAACCAATTGCGTAGAATCTTGTAACTTAGTAGGTGACGTTATCGGTAAAATTTTATCTTGTATTTAAGTACCTACATATTTATATTATGTTATTGCCATATATCTATGAAAATAAGACAAAACATTTCGAATTTTAATTCCATAGCTCCCAATATTAAAATTATTAAAAGAGATTCCCTTCGCCTCCTTGGGTCTCCTATATTGGAGGAAGCGTTTGCTTCTTTCACAGACGAAAAATTACAGAGCTTTGAAAATGTTTTGGACCGTTTACTTAAAATTAACACACACATGGCGTGCAAAATTATTCGATTTTGTCTTTTTGTTCCTAAATTCACATATTGCATTCGTTCTTCACAGTTTTGGAAATACCCTAGCTTAACTGCCAAATTAGATAACTCTATAAAACAAATTATTTCCTCCGTTTTAAATATTCCTTTAGATGATCGATCATGGACCCAAGCCTCTCTACCTATTAGGTTTGTAGGTTTGGGTATTCGCAAAATTTCCAGTGTTGCTCTACCGGCTTTTTTGTCTTCGGCTCATAGCACCAGTGGATTGGTTTCAAAAATACTGAGTAAGTGTTCTGTTTAATAATCTTACAAGTGGATTAGGCCTCCTGGGAACACCACTATAAAAAACGTGCTTAGTTCTTCACCTCGTTAGGGTAGTACGGAAGAAAGTACATAACATTGCAGTTATTTTTTTCGTTAGTTTTTTTTTATTTTAAAGTCGAAAATGACAATGTTCCGAGGGTTTCCGGGATTCGTCCCTTGGTGATAATATAGCTTATATGATGCATTACATAATACAAAAAGCAATTTCTTAAGAAAGCTTAAGAATAACGAATAAAATAAAAATAAATGTTGAGCTCCATACAAAAAAATAGTAATTATTGTCAATAACTTATTAAATAATAACTTTATCAAGAAAAGTTACATAACATAAAATATTTCTTTTTGGCAAAGGAACACATTGGCGTAGTTATTTTTACAAAATTTGGCAGTTATTTAAATTTTTTATTTTTTTTATTTTAAAGTCCAAAATGACATTGTTCCGAAGATTTCCGAAGTGCGACACTTGGTGATAACATAGCTTATATGTTGCATTACGTAATACAAAAGTCAATTTCTTTAGAAAGCTTGAGAATAACGAATAAAATAAAAATAAATGTTGAGCTCCATACAAAAAAAAAGGAAATTGTCAATAACTTATTAAATAATAACTTTATCAAGAAACGTTACATAACATAAAATATTCCTTTTTGGTAAAGGAACACATTGGCATATTTATTTTTTCAAAATTAGGCACTTGATTTTTGAGCGACGCTAAGTCTATGAAGCTCTAATATCAGCCCACCGTGCGGCAGACTACTTCTTCCGCGGTGTATGTAAGTGCGCGCATATCGCGGCCGCGCGGCAAAAAGACAATGCCGGAAATTGGCGCCTATTTTTTTCGCGCGGCCATCGACCAAACCTTGTTTTTATATTACAAAATAGTGTTATAAACCAAACTTACTATGACATGTACACCTCTAAACTCAGTCAGAACTGAGTTACGAGCGTTAGAAGGTTTGGTCGATGGCCGCGCGAAAAAAAAAGGCGCCACCTTCCATACAAAATCTGGCATTGCCATTTCATATGCATGTTTTGTTAGCCGCAGTGACCTGGCCGCTCGGCCCAGCCGCCTGATGCGCGGGGACACTAATTTGGTCGTTCCAAATGCTAATTATAAAAGCTATATGTATATTATAATTTTAGGCCGCTAGACTGATTTATCAACGCACAGCCAAAATTTATTTTAAGCTAAAATTCGATTTAAAAGTTTATTAAGTAATATACATATAACATGGATTTTCCTAAGAGTTATTTGAATGTAAGAATTAAACTTTTACGTTCCATTAACTTTAAAACTGATAGCAACGGGACTTATGAATATTGCAATGGGATTGTAATTAGTTGAAATTAGTTAAAGGGATTTGGAAGTTGGTATTTCGACTTGTAAAATGCGTCATATTGGCATACATACACATGTAGGTATCTATCTATGTGAGCCTATCATTGTATATGTGCACTAAATATAAATTAACTGTGTCCGACCGCTGTGCGTTGAATGAGAATATACATAGCTAGTAATTGCGCGGTTTTGATCGATTCACATGAATTTTGAAGACATAATTTAATGGATTCTTTAAGTGCATTTAGTCGACCAAAAGAAGAATTTATTTACAATCTTCTGTAAGTTCTGGCAAAGAAATCTGTATTAATTACAGCCTTAGCTACGTTCAATACATACTGTTTCCTCATTTTGATTTAGTGTTGTTTAGCGGAAACTAACTTAACACAAATACTATTTGTGATAAACGTATTATGTATAATCAACATCTCAAACAACTGATAAGTCTAACATAACCTAAAAACAACGAGTTTACATGATTGTATTAAAAACCTGTTTTTGGAAAGCAATGTATTTAGGTACGTGATTGAAACATGGCGGTTACACATAATGACTGTCGTGTCAACTGCACAACTCCTAAAACACCACGAACACAATGTTATACACCTTGTAAACTCGCCGTAACACAGTTTTAATTTAATATAACTATATTATGCTTAATTTTACATCTAAACTTATTATATTGTTAATTTATTGAGCAGGGAGTACGTAGTAAATGCACTGCCTTTACGATTAGCGAAAAACACTAAATTATAAACTATTTAACGAAATGCTATATAATATGGCAATTGTACAAACCAACATGAGGATTAGTTTATAATAGGCATTATGTGCTAATTAGAATATAAATTCTGACAGCAGTCTGCATGAATATCATACTATTTTATTGCAACAATAAACTAAATATAAATACATGCAACCACTGCGTAGAGTACTGTGTTAGTTAAGTAGTTAAGTATTATATACGAGTAGTTTTCTTTAAAAGTAATAGATAACATGCATGCGTATACCACTTCACTGGTAAATTTAACTAACCTTCTATCAAGTCAGTCAAATATTAAGATCTGACAGAATCCATTTAGCAACCGTACTCATAATTCCTCTGGCATTTTTATAAATGCTCTAATCGAAGTAATTCACCAACTCGGACCACAAGCCTACGGCCCATTTGGAACAAGTTGCAGAAAATCTAAATTAATTAAAATTTCATTCGTCAACACGTCCCACGTTACTAATCTATAGATAAAGGTACAAGTTCAGAAGTATAAGTGTTAGTGTACCACACGTTGATAAGGTTTATAAGTTCTACGCAAAAAGTAAATGGGACGATATGACGAATGTTGCAATTATTTAGATTTTCTGCAAGTCGTTCCAAATAGGCCGTAGGCTTGTGGTCCGAGTTGGTGAATTTCTCCTCCAATTAAATAAAACATTTTATGTATTTAAATACACAACTCCTTAAATAAAATAAAATTAAAATATCACAATAACATAAGGTAACACAAAAAGTATTGACTTTTATATTAATTTAAAGATAACATTGCAATTAAATATTAAAATAGACTACGTCAATAATTTTTGTTCCCGTTTTAAGACCTGCCTAGACTTCACTAGAGCAATCAGGGCCGAGACGAGCTAGAACTATGTTGAGCATTATAAATAATGAGCAGGCTAGATGCTATAGTGGCGGCTGACGGCCCATTTGATATCGCCTAAGATGCCAAGTAATAGAATGCCAGCGAATGACAAATACAATCCCATACTGTACCAGAAGCACCTTGGCAACATTATAGAAAATATAATACAACTCATTCATCTTAAAAGAATCAAAACCTTAATGCTAAAAATCACCAATAATAAATCTTTTTTTTTACTTTTTTACGATTTTTGTATGAAGTTTGTCGTATTAAATGATTCTACAATATCACAAATTATAACTAGGAATGCAAGAATTCTTTAACACCTTCGCTGCCAGCCTAAAAATGGCACTGTTCCGTTCGGGCCATGGGGGACAATGATGGGCGACACTTTAACTTTCCGTTCGGGCCGCGTCGGACAATGATGACCGCGAGTCAGACCTATGTTTAAACCTCTGTATTGAGCCGATGGACAGCATTTCTTCAATAATTCTCATATAAGCTGACCCGCGCGGCTCCCAAGATTAGTGTACGTCACTTGGTTCTCAGGTAAAGCTCGGACTTAGAAAAAAAAATGTGGATAACGGTAGCGCAATGAAACATGGTAATTATACAATGCATTTTTGCAAATTTATCAACTTTTTAGCAAGATTATAACGGTTTATTAATTAAAACATATCGTTTACTTATTTTATATAATTTATAATATGCAGGACAATAAAAAAAAATCACTTTCATTGTTGAACAACCACTTTGTATGAAGGGTTGGTACAGGTACTAAGTTCTTTGTACAGCTACAAAACTTATGCCATTTAAAACCTTATTAGTGGCATAAATTATTGTACTTATTAGATGCTTACACCTAGCAGGATTGTCGAGAAAAATAGATTTGTTTAATGTATGAAAAAAACATTTTTTCTCTTATCGATACTCTATTCTAGAACTTTTTTTATTATTCATGTAGGTCAAATTATTGGCATGTTAAATCAGCTATGTCATTATAATTATTTTTAATTTTAAGTATATTTTTAAATATTATTTGTAGATATACTGACAATTCAATATTGTTTTGAAAAAAGAACCGATCGAAAGTGACACTACAGTGATGGATGAAAAATTCAAAATACAGTCAAACAATTTCTAAAACGTCAAGTCGCAAAAATTGGATTAATAACCCAGTTGTTAGTAGCACCTTCCTGTAAATTTCATAATTATATGGCTGTCCAACGAGGCAAAAATGGGAACTAATAGTTCAGTATTGATAGTAGCGCCTTCCTGACAATGCCATAGCTGGGACGACTCAGTTTTGGACAACTTTTATACGAATTATTGATAAATTCAATTTTTTAAATAAAATTTAAACCTTTTTTAATTAAAACAATTTGAAAAAAATCACTTTTAGCGTTCCTTTTACGGTATCATCGATTTATTTATTATTATTTTTAATCACTATTTAAGACTTATCCTGCTAGTTTCGTTTCTCATTTTATACCTTATAATATTCCTATTTATGCGTAATATAATATATCAAAAACCTACCAATGTACAACTCTTTATTTTTTTGGTTGTTCTCCTTTTTTTTTTGGATGCGAGCGGGGATGGTCGACAACATGACCGCGCGGCCCTACGGAACGGATTTTCGAATTTTCGCTCGCTGGGGCCATGGGGGTCAATGATGTCCGACGCTTAATAATTCGATGTAGAGACTCAAAAACAACTATATGTTAATAAAATCCTTTATTTATGTTTATAATGTAACGATTTAACAAAAAAAAACAATCGACGAAAATTGAAAAAAATTGAAATTTTTACTTGGCCTGGTAGGAAAGTGCAGTGTCGGACAACATTGACCGCGTTGGCGTTCAATGTGTTAAGGCCTACAAAAACGATGTACTCATTTTTAATACTGTGTAGTGTTTACATTTTACTGTCATAAGGTTTATAATACTCGATCTCTTGCATCACTAGTTATAACGCACACTGCTTGTAGGTATTTGATATATTCACTACATCTAGCTACAACACTAGCGACGCCGTGTGCTGCGGGCGTATAAAGTGACGGTATTTTCCCGGTCAACTTTAGCTGTGAATTTGATACAGCCTGTGGGTCAGTCGTTCTCGTTACTAACCTTTTGAACGGACTGGGAGCACGTCATACGCCTGCACACACTTGAGTGCTTTAGCGGTCCCGGCCGGGTGACCACATTAAACTAGTTTTAACTTAAAATAACATAGTTGCTAATGTAGTTCATTTTAGAGCAAAATTAGTAATAGAAAAATTTATTTATTTACCTTTTTCTTACAAAACTTGAAAAACGTTATGAAATATTTTAAACAATAAAGTACAAAACCTTAACCTTTTTAGTCGAAACTTTTATTTCCCTCTTTCTAAAATACGCACTCAAATCTCCTTATTTTACGTTTTTATATTTTTGGCATTGTTTTGTTCGGGCGAATAAGTCAGTAAAGAAGAAGAGAGGAATTTAAATTTGATTTAAAATGGCATGGCTAAAGGTTGGCAAATAGAAGATTAGTTTAATCACAGGTTAACGACAACGAACTAAAAAACATAGCAAAACATAGAAATTAAGTAGTAAAAAATGTGATGTAAGGCAAGGCTTAAATTTTAAAATAAGCCTCTTCGGCTCCGCCAAGAGACGTTACAGTTCGGACTATGCGCATCACGGATAGATTCGCTAAAGATTCTTAATACAAGAATGCCCGTTTTCACCATCAATCCCTAATTTTTAAGTGTCCCCTATGGTAAAACATAACAGGAATTTTGTTTTCATAGGGGTCACGATGAACGAATTAACGATTGATGGTGAAAACGGGCATTAGTCTAACAGAAATTGGCAATCCTGAAAATAATAAGTAATCTTGTAAGTCGAAGGTTGGCAGCACGGTAAAATTGCAATTGACTATGACCGCAAGAGCAGTAAGCGACCGTGTATGTTTATTACTGCTAAGTTGTTGTCTGACGGGCTTCAAGGCAGCGGGTCGTGGCGAGGGGCTAGTGCCCGGGCAGGTTGACGTTGTTGCGCTGCTCCAGCGACGTGAAGTTGCTGACGACGCTGATGTGCACGACGGGCCCGAGCGCCGGCGCCGCGCCCGCGCCAGACTCGCGCCCGCGGTTGTTGTTCGAATCCTGCGCAAACGCACTCACGTTAATAAATAAATAAATCTATATAAATAAAAATGAATTGATGTTCGTTAGTCTGGTTAAAACTCGAGAACGGATGGGCCGATTGAGCTGATTTTGGTTTTAAAATATTTGTCGTAGCCCAGGGTAGGTCTAAACGGTGAGCAAATACGCGCGCGATATTGTTTTTCTGTGACAGACAAAATTCCACGCGGGCGAAGCCGCGGGCGGAAAGCTAGTAATAAATAAATATCCTTGGACATTTACACTGCGCTTCTAGTCCCAAACTAAGCAAAACTTGTACTATGGGTACTAGACAACGAATATAAGCATACTTAAATACTTTTTTTTTTGTAAATACATACTTATTATACATAGAAAACACCCAGTCCAATACAAACAAATATGCTCATGCACACAAATGTTTGTACTGTGCGGGAATCGAACCCGCTGCCTCCGGAATAGCAGTCCGTTTCGAACCACTACACCAAACGGCCGACAATGTTAATACACGAGTATGCTCCCTAGAACTGCCACAGGAATCATTATTAATATTATTATTGATGGATCGCTACCGTGTACCTTAATTTCGAATTTCCGATATTTCGGCACTGTTGCACTCACCAGTTTCCTCAGTTACTCCCGTGATCATGTCGCTTGCAACAGTGCCGAAATATCGGAAACTGTTATTGTCGATCAGGGTCCGCTGCAGGAGGACGATCTTTCCTAATCTACAAGAGGCAAAAGAAAGATTTGGCCTTTTGGTTGGTTTCTAAATAAATTTCCAGGTTCCTCCTACTCACGCGCACGTGAAACAGCCACCTAATTATTTTACTCGATGTCTATCGATTTCTCAGGATTGATAAGGATTCCTCATCCACTTCTTCACCTTTGTCCTCAATGTCATCCTTATCTCATCACGTGTCCATCACCTCCTACCCTGAATCTTACCTTCAATAATAATATGGCATCTTTGTATATCTATTGTTGGCACATAAAGTGATTCGTCACAGCCATATACATATCTTATCTTATCTTCTTATATACAGGGTGTTAGGTAAATGGGTATATGAGCCGACACTAGCCCATGTTAACATGGGCATATAAATGGTATGGTGAGGTCAGAAATTTGATATCATCATTTTAATTTTTTTAATTTTCATACTAAATAAATTTTATAAAATCCGATTTGTATGAAAAATAAAATAATTAAAATGAAGATATCAATTTTCTGACTTCACCATACCATTTATATGACCATGTTAACATGGGCTAGTGTCGGCTCATATACCCATTTACCTAACACCCTGTATATATAAAAATGAAACCCGTTTCGCGTTGTCACGGCATCACGTGTGAACGGCTGAACCGATTTCGATAATTCTTTTTTTTAAATGTTTGTGGAAGTCCAAGGATGGTTCTTACGGAAAAAAATATTAAGAAAATCTCTACGCTAAGGCGGTACGAAGTTCGCCGGGTCAGCTAGTTATAAATATTATAAATAAATATTGAATTACATAAATTACTTGTGTTGATTAGATTGCCTGACTTCTCCGAATGTAATACAATTAAATATTTCAACCACAGAATAATAATAAGTACTACGTACAGAAGTTTTACTTCGCGAAGGTATTTAAAATATACAGTGTGTCCGGGCATGTAGTGATCAAACTTTAAGGACGTAATCTATGGACAATTTTATCGGTGAAAATACTTTAAATTTGGGGCTTGACCCATTTCTCGCATATTTACAAGGATTTAAGTTTTTAATTTTAAGTTTTCACCTCTTCCTTCAAAAACAAGTGATAGCGTGGGTAGTTTAACATTAAATAAGCAAAAATTTTATATCATGCGATAGCCAATAAAATTATCTATTAGTAGAAGTAGAAAACAGATACAAGTTTCATACATTTTAAGGGTGTAAGAATGGATTTAATTAGAAATAAACATGATTTTTTTCACACCTTTTTCAGTTATTTCCCAACACAAGAAAAACCAGGTCGTTAAGGTATGTTTTATTTGCATTTTATTATTAGTATTTGAGCTTAGAAATCAAATTTTATCAGTTATTTTCATTGATAATGGAGAAGACACTTATAATTTCATCATGACTATACACCATTAGTTGAATATTAAATAACTTGCAAAAAAAATTTTACCTCTAAGAAAGTAATTCCTTAGTAAAATTGTTAAAGTCTTTACCTGTTTGAGTAACATTTTCACCCGTCTTGACAAAATCCGCCATAACTGTTTTTTTTTTTAGTGTTTCCTATTGTAAATTTTAAATCTACTGTACATTGATCTCGGAGCCATCTACTTAGTGAATTCAAATCTAACTAGAGTGATTCAAAGTCAGCACCTGACAATATTATTCTTAAAGCGGGCAATCACTACCAGTGGGCAATCACTCTCTGGTTTACCCTATATATCACTGAAAAAAGACATTTCATGCCATTTTCATGCATGTCAAATATATTTAAGATTTTTATTTATTGAGTTGACTTCTTAGAATACTAATGACGAAACATTTGGGGCACTTCAGAGGATAGATATCATGTCAGTGGTGCGGTGACTGACACAATCATGTTTACCGCCGTTGTGGCTAAATGCATTCTACAAGGAAATTATTTAAAAAAAATAAGAATACTATAAGAATGAATAATTAAAATAGAGAATCACGGGTCTCAATGTGTCATTTTGATTAAGTATGTTCATGAGTAGGTACTCACACCTTGACATTTCGACTGTGTTGTGTAGGTAGGTACATCTTACTTTATAAAAATGTAGCGTTAAGTGCCGCGATTTTAATTTTATTGTAAAAAAAGAATGCGAAAGTTTAAAATATTGGGAATTAATAAGGGAGCGCGCGCACAGGTGATGTTTGTTACCGCGACAGTATGCCTCTCTTTTTCTCTTTATAAAGGTGTAGAAGAAACAGATATACTATTACGGGTAATTAATTATTACTACTGCCTTGGTGACAAAAAAGTCACCCGTGTGCCGAGCGCTCCCTAACATAAAAAAAAGAAACACAGGTCTCAAAAATTAATCGCAAAATGTGTTGGTAAGCGCATAACTCAACAACGCCTGGACCAATTATTATTTTAACATTTTTTTTTAATGATTTTGAAGTCCAAGGATGGTTTTACGGCGAGAAAAATTCGATTAGGTAAATTCCGGGAAAACTTCGGGCGGAAAGCTAGTTAATAATAAGAATGTCGCATTGAGACCCGTGTTTGTCTATTAGTTGAAATGGAACGCGAAGGTTTAAAATGTTATCTTAGAGTAGGCGCACACCGTTGATTTTTAGTTGGCCGATAGTTGTGTCCGATTTTAATTTGTATGAAGAATCGGCCAAATTGAATCGGCGTAGTGTGCGCACTCCCATACATGCCCATACTGATCAACTGCCCGACTAAACTATCGGCCGACGAAAAATCAACGGTGTGCGCCTACTCTTAAAAAGAACTGACCTCTCTGACGCACAGGGTCTTGGCAGGCGGGCCCTCGTCGTCCGAGTCGGCCGCGCGCGCGCCGGCCGCCGGCCCCGCCGCGCCCGCCATATTCGCCAGCGCCGCCGCGTTGCCGCTTGGGGATAAGATAACCTTTTAATGCAAGGTCAACAATACCGGCTACGTAATTAGCACTATCCTACTCAACGCTAATAATAATAAAATTCGCAGACTCGCTGAAATCGAGCATGGAAGTAACGCATTTAATGTTGTTATGTTGTTTCGAATTCAAATTCAAATTCAAAACGTTTATTTGCCAAAAACACAGTAATACAGGGTGACAATATTAAATAGGATCATGTGTTTAGTCTGCTCGCAGACGTGCAAAAATTACAGGATTCAATAGTATTAATGTCGGAATATGAACCGATATTATCTTCAAATGATAAGAAAAAGAATTTTCTACTTTAATAATAGAAAGTGCTAGAACATTTTGATGCTTTCTAGAACCACACTTGCATAAAACTGCTAAAATAGGTATTACACCTGTATTCACAAACGATGCTTGCTTACGAACGCACAGCGTTGAATAGAGCCCTGTGATTGGTTCGTATGTGACCTTGTGCCTCCACGCGCACTGTGAGACCTCATAGTAATGTTTGGGAATACGGGCGTTAATCTTTTTAGTAACTTTTTTAAAATAAAACTGTCAAATCTTATGCATCGCAATAAAATTCGTGTCGCAATCTTCCATAATTATACACTCATACTCACTTCGAATCACTAACAACGTTGTTTGTGGTTTCATTTGGAGTCCAAGGGCTTTCCATAGTATCTTCATCTTGAGGAGTGAAGGGGGGTGACGCCGGTCCCGCTTCCTCATTCTGGTTGTAACTGCAAAAAATGCACATCAAATTATAATAACATGCTTAATAGTTTATCTTGTACCTCATAAGTGATGTCAAATGGAAAAGACCAAAGTTTATCAATTAAAAGCAATAAGCGTTCAGACACTTTATAATAAACAGTAAGTAGGTGCCAAGATATGGTAAATTATACCTACATAAAGTAGTGAAACCAAACACATTGAATATCTACAGATAAAATGTTATTTAGACCGAAACAATTATTTTAATATTGACAAGGTTTTGAAGAATGCCTGGACAATAGGCTTAAGTAGGAAAATACTTCTTCATTGTATTGCAAGGAAGCAATAGACCTGTCTATCACAGGCTAAAACAGGTTCGGACCTGTGCAAACAAACATGAAATTAGCTTACATAATCCGGGAATACTTACACTTCAAGCCGCATGCAAAAAATATAAACAATAAGTGGTCAGTTTAAACGGCATTGATGGTTTACAAAATATATGGAGTCATTGTAATTTAAATAAAAGCTACAGTCCTCTACTCTATTTGTTATTTTGCACAAATTGTGTACCCGAAGTTAGCTTGCGGATTTTGTTTAAACTTAATACATATTTTATTCTTTTGTAAATCATAGTGTCTTGTACAGTCACGGAATGAAAAGGTTCGTCAGTTTTCAAATTGATTCCTTCAACGAATCACGAGCACATATTATTACCTTTTGAAACTATGTTACAGAATAATCTCGAGTTAAGAGAAAATAATCTTTAACTGTTCGTCAGTAAAGTTCAAAATTATTCAGATCAAAGTTGTTTGACAATTTAACTTGTCAAGAAGATTATTATGATTGATAAACTAAAACCTTCTTGTTGGTTCAACCTGCCATTATCTATTAAATAAAAAAAACTACATTTTGTGACATTGCACTGATGGGATAGAAAAATAAATAAGCAAAACCTTATTCGTTAGCAAACGTCATATTTATTTAAATGTTAGCAGCAATGTTTCTTGCACGGTTATGTTGGCAGGTTTGACTCTTACAGTACCTAGTGCAAGCGAAAACCGACACTAAGGTGACGAACCTTTTCATTCCGCGACTGTACATTTACATACCTACTTATCAACAAATAGCACATTTGCTAGGACCTCGCCCTCGAATTGGGCAATGTCGTGAATTATGACCACGGGCTTATGAACGGGCCAAGGAACCGCGTATCTTTGCAGGTTTTGATTTTATTTTGAATATCAGAATACCTAGTAGATTTCTTAATACATCGGTGAAACCGTTATTTGGCTCAAACGAGAAATAAAATTATTTAAGCCATATCACGGACAAAAATGCTTGTCTCGCCGTGACTCCTGATCACCTGATCACAATTAAATGGAAATTATTGGTGGACTGAAGTGCCCTACAAGGCGTCGTGTCGTGATAACCGATAAGCTTCTGACTCAGCGCAGCGCACGCGCATCAAGGTCTGTATTAAAAAATAACACATTTACATGAATTTTAAACTGTCATAGCAATATTTTCATAGCATCATTATCAACTTTATATGTATTCATAATTCTTTTATTACATACTAGCTGACCCGGCGAACTTCGTACCGCCTTAGCGTAGAGATTTTCTTAATATTTTTTTCCGTAAGAACCATCCTTGGACTTCCACAAACATTTAAAAAAAAGAATTATCGAAATCGGTTCAGCCGTTCACACGTGATGCCGTGACAACGCGAAACGGGTTTCATTTTTATATATATAGATTTCACAATTGATGGTGAAAAAAGTTCAGGAATTGCTGATGCCTGTTTCTACAGTGCTCAAGAAATTTGATTGTTAAATATTTTAACAGAACAAAATAGCGTTTTTGTTGTTATTGTTATAGGTGAGGATACCTATTCTTGGAAATAAATAACTTTATCTTTATAGTACACACTTGATAAAAAATACATTTTTCATTGAATTATGACGTCAGTTACCGCGATAAAACGGCACGCGTGGTGGTGGCGTGTCGTTCCATTCATTGTAAATATGGACTGATATTATGTGACGTCAAGCTCAGCTGATATTACATTTAAACGCTTGCATCTTCTTTGGTTTCGATTTGAATACAATTTTTCAGAGCTAAATTGTTTGAATATGAGATAATCATAAACTTTTTAAATTGATGCAAATTTTCTATAGCTTTACGCCTTACTTTCATTGCGGGGAACCATGATAGGTACTGTGTCGATCGAGATAAGAGTCTCGCCGTATATTACGAACCGGATCTTGGAAAGCGCAAAGGATAAGATTTAGGTTCTTTTCTTTGCGCATCATCATCACCGTTATCAGCCTATAGTCAGACCACTTCTGGACATAGGCGTCCAATCCATGACGCGGCATTTTCTTTCTGTTCTTTGCTCCTGCAAACGATCTTTAGTTCCTTTTGCAACGGTGTGCATGCCCCTTTCCCACTGGGAACTCTGGGCGTGCCCTTGGCCCCGCGATCGAGGGGGACCCCGTCGTACCATAAATAGCTGTTAAGATTGTATAATTGCAATTCCTCTTTTTTCCTTTAACCCTTAACCTCCATGTAGGTTAATATGTGACTGAAAAAAGTGTGTTAAACTTTTTTCAGTCACATAACCATGGAGTCTCTCAAACTCCTCTCTTTTCAAGACTCTAAACAAAAAACTAAGTTGTCCAAAGGTAAATTAGTTAAAAGATGTAAGAAATTTGTCAAAAAAAGCCTAATTATCTTACAGCGCATGGGACTAGTTACGACAAGAAACAAATTCACCGTAGTCTGAGTGACTCCTGGTAGATGGTTAAGGGTTAATTAAGGAAAAGTGGCCCCTTGCTCAGAGCTCAGGGCCTCTAGTACGGGACTATTCCCACCTCTCGTTTCCACCGCTGCAACTCCTGTGTAGCCAGGATCTACAGCTTGACCGCCAATAAAAACCCAACCAATGAAGGTCAAGTTTGTCCCGGGGGAAAGTTAAACATAAGAGGAGCTCGAAGTTAAGGGGCTCCAGTAGAGTAAGGACGATCCTAGTTGAGTGCGTTACCTGGTCGGGCCTCGGATGTAGTTGGGGTTGCTGTAGGGCCGCGCGGCCTGACAGTCGGCGGCCTCGCGCGGTCGCGGCGGCGCCTGCGTGCGCTTCAGGAGCAGGTCGGCTTCTGCCGACAAACAACTATATTGATACACGGAAAACTGGACTCTAGCGGCACGATATGCTAGGCTAACGGCTATTCTCAGCCAAATGGTCGATAAAACATAGTTCTAGCAGTAATATACACTCGACAGCAAATAAATCGCACCACCCGCGACAAGCACTTTCAAACGTAAGCATCCCCACTTCACACCAATATTGGTACCATTCAAAAGCCTAGTTCTAAACTTCATTTCATTATAGGAAAGGTTTTTACCTCAAAAATGTTTCTTTAGAAGGATCCAGAGTCACTTCTTCAAAAAATAGATAGTTACGCTTGAGCCAACTTTTATGGCTATAAAACTGTTAAGTTGGGATTAATCGCTATCCATCTGTTAAAGAGGACACGTGTGATCATTATTTGGTTTTATAACCATAAAAATGTATCAATTGTATAGCTGACATGATGCAGAGGAGGCGACATAGCCTAGAGCTTATTAAGTTCAGTTGGTTATAATGTCAGTGGATGACTCCTCAGCTGGTAAGTTATTGAATGAGCGTGTGGACTTGTTGAATACCTTTTACAATGTATTTGATCAACTACCTTTACCGTAGATTACCATAATCCTAATAAAACTTTTTTTTTTAGATTGATAACAGCAGTGTATGTTGTCACTCATGTTGGACCGTGGCCACGGTGTGGCTCTGCACCAATCAAGGACAAATAATATTTCAAATGAAGAAGCAACCTCTAGCACTGGTCACTGTTAACGTGGATTGTCTTTGTTACAAATACGTTCTATAGACTGCATATTAACACGGAAAGAGAATCACATATTCGAAATAATGTAATAATGGAACAGATTTCACCTCGTCAAGTAAGTTTTTTTATAATTATTTTCATTATATTTTATTAAAGACATTGGCTTGATATATTTGAACAAAGTGTATATTTTTTTCTATACAAATACTTCTTACTGATAGATAAAAATTGACATCACATCTCAATATCTTAAAGAATGAATTTTGAATGATACCATAATTAATTTCTTTGTTTCAGCTGCGGGGATCTGACCAAATATGTCATCCTTAAGTGGCAGTGAGCTGATCGAGCTACTACACATGCTATGGAGCCCCAACAAACACATGATGGGACGAGGATTCATTTGCCCTGATATTGGCCGAATAACAGTAGGTTGCTGTGCTCATGTTATGACAATTTTGTGGTTTTTGAGCTGGGCAAGGTATCAGTAACATGTATTTCCACCTGCCTAGTTCCTAGACAATATTTTATTGACCCATGAGTCAGATTACAATAATAATAATAAAAAAAATGGTGTTTTATTTTCTTCTAACCTTTCTAGTCTTCAGCAAAAAAAAAAATTTTTTAAGGACTTGGATACAAAATGATATTTATATTCTGTTTCTTACTGGTATAGACTATTTAATAAATAACAAATTACATGCTGTAATGTCTGTCCACCTCAGGCCAAATGTCCCATACTAAGTGGGCATAACCCTTTGGTCTAATTGAACCCAGAGGTGAGCCCAAAGTGAGGTCTTTTTTCAAGTCACATTTATGGTATATGTTAATCATTTATTAAGAAATTAATGTGTTTTTCTTTAAGGATATTTATTGGGCTTTCAAATAACACCAATATTGTTGGGGCACCATTATTGTGTCAAAAGAAAATCTTTAAAGTTCGCGTCGCGGGTGGTGCGATTTATTTGCTGTCGAGTGTAGGTACTTTATTACAATGAACATTTGCAAGCTAAAAACTATTTTACTATTACAAAATGGCACATTAGCAGCACATGGCACATTTACAAAGTTGAATAATGATTATTTTGAATATAGCCCTAGTACTCCTAGTCAAATTACATTTTTATGAGCTTCCCAGCGCGACATTTTCTATTGCATTGCAATAGGGAGGGACTACTTATGACGTCATAAGAGCGCGAACTCACTGATAAATTCTAAAAATCAAATTTTACATACAACTGAAATGTAACTCTATTTTCAGTGCTAAAATGAAGAGTTTCTTTAGAGAAGTTAAGTTATTGGTTATTGGTGACAACTAACAACGGTGAAAGAGATAAGGGCCAGTGCAATGTGTATGCCCAGGCTTTTCCACGGTTGGAGACAAATGCCTCGTGTTCCTCTGACACCATGTGACTATAGGTACATATGAATGTATTGTGTATGAAAATTAATATGTACGGGTTGGATCTAGCCGTTGTAGTTCAGGCAGATTAGAATAACACCACTCCCTTTCTGAAATGTCATAAAACTACTAGGGCTAAGGCAAGGCCATAAAAATATGCGAACATCAGCCCTCTCCAAACCTTATCGCCAGCATGGGGGGAGTGAAGGCCAAATCCTCCATTTTCCTCTGGTAAATAGAGACTTATGTTTGAAATGCTTATGTGTAATTGTACCTTCATTGACAACATGGAACTAAAGGAACTGATGATCATGATGATGTGTGAGTTGAATTATGTTAGTATTTTAGGCTTAATACAATCATTGACTATAGGACGACATGGAGAATAACGTCATCATCATCAACAGCCCTTTACAGTCCACTGCTGGACTATGGGCCTCCTCCACTATAGTGCAGAATTTGCCATAATCCCCACGCTTGGCAGGCGGGTTGGAGATCGCAGTTTAAAAGACTGATGTTTTTCAGAGAGCGCTTATTCTGTGGCGCTACTGCCTGTTCTCTGTTTGATGTGTAGTCCCTAAGTCGTCGACGTCACCCGCGGGAAGAGTAGGGGTTGGTGACAAATGTTTTCCACTCTGCCGTCACCACACGGCTTACTTACGGAGACTAATGTAAAAGGACCTAATGATGATATGCATGATGTTCTGGGGCATGTTGTTCGAACTTAAATAAAGTAAAAAAAAATAAAGAAAGAAAGAAATAAAATGTTTTTATTTCTTTCTTAGTAACAAAAGACACAAATACAAGTGTTACCTTCATCGACGACAAACAGCTCGGATCGCGGCGGCTGCGCGGGCGCATACAGCGCCGTGTAGGGCGGCGGCGGCGGCTCCGGCGCGCTGGGGCTCGCGGCTGCGGCAGTGCTGTGCACCGACGTCGCTGCAACCATACCGCGACACTCTACATTCAACCTTTTAGGCTTTAGCCTAGGCGCAGACCACCAACTTTTATAAGATTTTAAACTTTCGCGTTCCATTTCGACTTAAATAGAGACACGGGTCTTGTGACCACGGCTGCAGCATAGCACCCGAAACGTCAAGCCGTGAGTACATAATGTAACTCATTAATAAATGTCGCGTTAAGAAGACCCGTGTCTTTCTATTTACACCAACTTTTAGTTGGCCGATAGTTGGGCCCGATTTCAATTTGTATGAAGAATCGACCGATACCAAATGCACTTTCATACATCTCCATACTGATTAACGGCCAACTAAAAGTCGATGGTCTGCGACTAAGCTTAGACTATTTCCTAAATTAACCTTTTCAATGCTTGATTATGTCAAAATATTTTTTTCCAAACATGGATCCATGAAGTCTGAAACTTGAAGAAACAGCGAGACCGATTTTATGAATCATACGTTAAAAACTGTTGTCTAGGCGGGAGTCAATCCAGAACATTTCACATCAGAAATTAAAGAATCTACCTATATTTTTACAGGAATACCATATTATGACACAATTAAACATACCTAACCTACGTAAAACAAACAAAATGTGTAATGGAAACACGTTAGAAGATTCCTTTCTTGTGAAACACCACTGAAAATGTAAATCTACGTGCATAATAGGTACAACATGATATAATCAGTTGTGTTCGAAAGATAGATGAAACAAATAAACAAAGCCCAGTTCCATGAAAGTCACATAATCGGAAATCCGGCATATTATCGTCCCACTGTAGCGTTATCTAAATCTAATAATATATCGCGCGACCACCATTCGATAATGAAGAGCACTCACTGGCACGAATCTTGAGGATGAACTGGAACAAGGTTTCCCTGTTCACGGCGACGTAGACGATGAGGACGACGAGCACGGCGAGCAGCAGTCCGACGACGGCCCACATGTACGCCGGCACCGCGGCGTCGGCGCCGGCGGTCGGCGCGCTTAACGCCGGCACGCACGCGTTGTCCATGCGCAGATCTTCAACCAGCCTATAAATAACGCAACCCATTATGTACAGCTGCTGTCCACGGCGCGCAGCTTATAGTAAAGACAGTTAGGTCATCACACAAGCAAAGGTTTAGATCTGTATACGCTTAGGGCGCTGACATCTTGCGTATTCTGCCGACTGATTTGATATTAGTGTGATTATTGTGTTCACCTCAACTTTTGTTGGGCGAACAATGGTAGACGCTATTCGTCATTATACCTACGCTTGGTGTACACGCCTGCTTGCAGCTTACATTATACATACATAGCCAAATACTTACTCATTATTTTGTAAGTACAGACGACGGTAGGTAAATCAACTTGTAATAGAACGAGAGAGCTCCTCTTTGGTATCTTAATCCTGGTATGATTCAATTCGATTACGATTGATTTGGAAACCACAACCGCCCGCCCACACCTCAAATGAGTGATGCATTTACTTACTAGCTGTTTCGCTGTTTTTATTTAATTAAACTACGTAATTAAACATACAATTTTCATAACATATTATGTGATTTGTGCACGTTATAAAATTAAGAACTTCATAGACAATAGCAATAAAATAAATTGCATTAGCTGTTTTCATTTTTCAATTTATTCCACTATCGGATTTACTGAGCGCATGACGCAATACTCAATACCCTGTCGAGTGTAGAGCTCAACGCCCGAGAACGGGTGAACTTAATTGCTATCATTATTTTATTTTCGATGGAATAATTTTATAACTCGATCATTAATGCAAAATATCTTTATCTTATCTTCACCAATTGAGCAGACGCCATTATTATCAGTTATGACTTCACATTCCCTAGAAGTCGCAAATAAATCCTTACAAATTGTTTTGAAACAGGAAAGAAAATAATATGTGTATGGCTATGTATGTAACTGTTGGTTACATGAACCTGCTACCTCAACGGTGACAAAAAACCTTTATGTCGAACATTGAAATCACTCACCCCTCTGTGCAGCCTCCGCAATGCACGACAGACGTGACGCATACGTCGCCTGGCGGAGGCTTGCGCTTGAACACCTCGCACTGCAGGCACTCGAGGCATCGAGTAGTGGCCTTCTCGCAGTAAAACCCAGTGGGGCAGTTGGAATTCTCGTAGCAGGCCGCGGGCTGGCTCGACACCCCCATGCCGACCCAAGATGCCCAGAGCACCAATAATGTGCTGAAAAGACAAAGTTTTCATTTAGTTTCAGTACAGTTTCCAGCTCGCGAGTTTCGCGCGCGCATCCTACATTACATGGGTAAACCATGAAATAGAAATTTATCTGGAAATATTAGCTGTCAATACTTAGTAACACTTGACCTTAAGTTAACCTTATCCGCTGTTTTTGTCTGAAGTTTGACAGACTTTTTACTTTCGTTAAAGTTATGTATGATGGTGTAACTCAGGGTTAATGTTTTTCGCTCGAAAGAACTTGAATTATCTATCCTACAAATCCTCATGGACACCTACATGTATTTAATCTGGTTCCATAAAGCTGTCGTAACGAAACCAACTACAAGTATGAGTATTACGCTCCAATTAATAACTTAAAATTGTGGTTTTATGCCATTACAACATATTATGCAGTTCCTATTTAATTGGAATAACTTGTATTTAATTAATGAAGTTTCCTTTACTACAACGCACATGGAGTGCTGCTTTATGATTGGCCATTGATATCGAACGACGCGACGCGAGTCGTCTGTTGCACTTATTATCTATCAGCGAAACGTAACACGTGATTGTGTTATGACTTCTAGAAGTTTCTACCTAATCTATGTACCTATACTTCCCTATAATCTGGACCTGATTGTTATGAGTTCTAGAAGTTTCTACCTAATCTACGTTATCTACGTACCTACCTATATTTACGTATACCTAATCTGGACATAATATTATAACGAATTGATAACGTGGCTGTTGAATTGTTTTTATTATTAGTTAGTAGCTACAAAAGTCAAAAGACATTAGAAAGCATTTTCCTAACATTTTGTATAGACTAGTTTTTAGGGTTCCGTACCCAAAGGATGAAAACGGGACCCTATTAGCTACTGTGCTATTAGGGATGGTCTCTAGTTTTATATTTCCAGGATCTTTATGATATTAACATTATGAAACCAAACTTAATCATTTATAATTATGTATTTAACTTTGTCTATTTCTTAGCTAAGTATTGTACATAATTTTCAAAATTACAAAAGTATTTTATTTTTAATATTATTATTTCATAATATGATACCAATCCCATTTGCAGACTAAATGAATTATGATATCAGTCCCATTTGAATTTCATTACAATTATACAATATCATAATTAAATTGCCTACAAAAGTAACAAACAGATAGGTATAATAAAGGTTAATATCTCCAATCTTGACTATCTACTTTAGTTTAAAATAAAAACATAATAAACATTGTGTCCGCAAGCATATGTTTGATTTGTACCTAGGTAGGTGCTATAGGCATAAAGTAACTTGTAGGTAATACAAAAACATACAGTAGGGTCTCCTTTTACGCAAACTTTAAATAACTCCTAAGATATCCTATATTATGTTAAAAAGGAAAACTTTTAATAAAACAATATTGTGACTGTGAGTAGGAAAATAAAATAAATCCATTCCTTTACTATCACAACAGATTTATGCAATTTACGATTTGTATTTACCTAGCTGTGTGGTGAACTTTGACGAAATGAATTGCTCATCAATCTAAAAAAAATATCTTTCCTTGTTCGGCATTATTAACATAAGTAGGTATGTAGGTACCTACCTAACCTACTATTATAACTAGTAAACTTATAATATTGATCGTAGTAGGTATCTAAATCGGGCAATGACCCAATCATTCATTCCTCGGTGAGCGCATGCTTCTTTGCGAGCTTACTGCGTCAATATTTATTGCGATGCTGGCTAGTAACAAAAAGACAAAGGGTACATAACGCGAGCGAGTGGGGCTTATGCGCGGCGAGCCGAGAGCGAGCGCGATAACCGGCCGATCTGCTGATTCACATCACTATTTTAATTTATTCTAAATGCGCACGTGTCCTTTACGCGCTCTTTAGCGACTGCGTTATGGAGTTAATGCAATCTCCATTTTCCACAAACGAATAATTATATTTAAAGTAATACATGAATGAGCCTTCTCCACTATAGTGGAGGGTTTTGCCATATCCCCACGCTTGGCAGTGGAGGAGGCTCATAGTCCAGCAGTGGTCCAGTCCAGTCCATACGAAAATTTTAAGACAGTTCTAATCAGTTTACACCCACCGCCTTGCCGTTTTATTACATTTATTCTAAGCGACTGATTTCTAGGTTGCCTGAAAGAATCCTTTGATCTGGCGCTAGTTTACGGTCATTGACCGCACTACCTACCTATTATGTAAAATCAACGACAAGATAGGTATTTTGTTTCATACGCAAATCAAGTTTTTATAATAAGAAAATAAACAGTCGAATGACCTTGGTACTCAACATATTGGTTAACAGTACAAAAATAATACCTACAGAATCTACATCTACAAACACATCATTATAGATGTACCTATGCTCGTCGTGGGAGAGAACTACGTTATAGTAGGTAGGCTACAAGCAATCCAAAAGTAGTTCCTACCAAGGACAATGTTGATGACATCTTTTCTCCAAGTTACCTAGTAGTACCTATTTTTATGGGGTAGGTAGGTACTAGCTTTTGGCCGCGGCTTCACCCGCGTGAAATTTAGTTTATCACATTATCGTCATAAATTATAGCCTATAATATGTTATTCTGGGTTATAAACAATAATACTGTAAAGTTTCAACAAAATCCGTTCATTAGTTTTTATTATAGTAGGAAGTAGGATCTAAGAAATATAAGGCTGCAAATAATTTGTGTTTTCCGGTTACCGGTTCATCAAGAACTTCAGAAGAAAATGATTTGTTTCTTTCAGTTTCACCACAAGTTTCACGCACATTCAACATAAAAATGGTTGCAACACTTGCAACTTGCAATTTGTAAAAATACGTAGTACCTAGCAAGCATCATTTCAAAATAGGTAGGTAACATCATATTTTGTTTTGCTTGTATTCATATTGTTATGTTTCTTTCCTTCCTAAACCCGATTGATCTTTTTTTAAACTGGCTAAGCGGTTGGCGGAGTCGGTGTCAAGCCGTGCTATGCTCTCCGATGACTCATCATGGATACCACACCGATATCGGTGAGTCGTAGCAACTAAACCGGATTACCTGCAGGCCCTGCAGCATCCACTTTTTGTGAATGTCAATATAAAACAAAAATATCATCATAATGCCTATCTATCTACTTTACTTATATTATATCTACACTAATATTATAAAGAGGAAAACTTTGTTTGTTTGGTTGTAATTAATAGGCTCAAAAACTACTGGACCGTTTTTAAAAATTCTTTCACCATTCGAAAGCTACATTATCCACGAGTAACATAGGCTAAATTTTATTTTAAAAAATAGGGTTCCGTAAAATATGTAGATAATGTAGTCCACGCGCGCGAAGCCGTGGGCGGAAAGCTAGTTAATATTATAAATAATAAATAATAATAATAAATCTTTGGACAATTTCACACAGCGCCAGCTAGCCCCAAAGTAAGCAACTTAATGCTTGTGTTATGGGTGCTAGCTTAACGGATATACTACTTATATACTTTTTTTTTTAAATACATAAATATTATACATAGTCACACCCAGACCCGTCACAGAAATTAAAATTCATCATTTCAATTTCTGCCCGAGCTATAAAGCTGAAGAGTTTGTTTGTTTACTTGAACGCGCTAATCTCAGGAACCCATTCCAATCCCATTTATCCTTCTAACTGGAAACATAAAAAAACCGGGCCCTAGTAGCTCCAAACGCAATAAAATCGATAGAAAAGACAAAAGAAAAAAAATTTTTTTTTAATCTTAAAAATTCAATATCTCTGTCGCAGTCGGATTGTATAATCCGCCGTTTTACATTACCACTAGGCATTTTACATTACAGCTCTGTTTTGTAATACGGCGGTTTAACGTTTAGGCGGATCGTCATTGCGATACGTTCTTCAATACGGCGGCCCACGTTTAGCCGCATCGTACTACTATAGATTGTAGGGTGACCATACTTACAAAATAAAACAATGTTTAATGAAAATAAATTTTAATAAGACAGATTTTAAGAATTATTATCTTCGTTACTGTATACTAAATAATATATTTGGCTTCAGTATTTTTTTTTACTTATTTATAAATCACAAGGGATAGTCATCTAAAAAAAAGTAACTCAAAACAATTAGACTTTTCTAAACATTTTAAGAATTACCTAATTAGATATTTGGCTTTAGTCTTTTTTAGACATTAAAAATGATCACAGGGAACAGGTAACTCAAAACAATAAAGTTTTAGTCATTTTTCTGTGTTATTTTTCTTTAAGATAAAATTATCTTCACCGGCCACAGCCATGATTTCATATTTTACACTAATAATATTATTGTGTAGGATTCCGCCGAACACCAGAATCCATAGCCACTTTATCCGGCAGCGCCACGGTATTGAAAATAGGAACTAAAAACTATCAAAGCGGCGGGTAATGACACGCTGTTTTACATTACGGCTAGCCGTATTGAAGAACGTTTGGCGCCGAATACATTCCGGCGGATTTTCATTCAGCTGTATTCAATACGCCTAAACGTTAAGCCGCCATATTACAAAACAGAGCTGTAATGCAAAATGCCTAGCTGTAATGTAAAACGGCGGATTATACCATTTGACTGCGACATCTCCATAACGGTTAGGTTTCGGATACCATATTATAGGATCAATTCGATCAGAAATGACCTGAATAATCACGTCCTTCAATATTCTGTACGACTTTCCCTGTAAATTATAACACTAATAAGACCAAGGAATATAGGAGCGGAGCATCAATGAAGAATGTTTCAAAATCGAGGGATTTTTTCCATTATTAAGTAGGTAGATACCTAAAGTAACATTTTCTTAACATTATTGGTCCTAAAGTCGTGACTCCTAGAATGTTTTTGTTGAATTTCCTCGATCGGAAATCGGGTGACGCGATGACGGACGGGACGGGAGTAGATCTGGAACTCGATGGATTACGCGCATTGCCGTTTTTATTTGTTGGAATTAAATAAATGTAGATATATTACTAAGGTAATTAATAGGTACCTGTACCAGGCC